GAAGGAAATAAGGTTGCGCATATTATGGCACACTCAGAAACAAGATGGAATGAGAGTGTGATTTGGTTTGATAGGCCACCTATCTTTCTAGTTGATCAGATTTTGTTGGATGATGTAACTGCAACATCTGATTAATATATTTCTACAAATTTCAGTATAAAAAAATGAATGCTTGGAGATTTGGTTATATAGTGATTTAGTATGATACGATTTTGTACCCTATCCTTTTCTGACCACATGTGGATTGTTTTCGTAGATTAATAACTAGCAATGAAAGAAGAAAGCAACAAAAAAATATTGAAGTTAACAGGTTGAGAGTGCATGTAACATGAAAATTTTTCCCGAACAAGATATTGTCCGCTTTGGGTCTAGACCTGCACGGTTTTTGCCTTGGGGGTGCATATCAAGGAGACTTCCCATAAGGTCATCCATCCTTGTAGTGCTCCACAGTGAGCACGTTTAACTTCAAAGTTCTTACAAGAACTCTTCCATTTGACCACATAATGCACCTTGTCAGTTAAGGCCAAATTCTTACATATGAACCATGGATCTCTCATGTGCTTTGTCGATGTAAGATTCGCATAAGGTGTTACATAAAACCCCTTAAGGCTCAACGTTTTCATTGGGATTTTCCCACCATTGTTCAAGAGGGACGCAGAGAGGCTTTGAGGTCATTTGTAACATGATGAAACTTTTCCAACCAAGATATTGTCTGCTTTGGGTCTAGACCCGCATAGTTTTTTTGTTGCCTTGGGGTTCATATAAGGGAGACTTAGCATAAGGTAACCCATCCTTGCAATGCTCCACAGTAAGCATGTTAACTTTAAAGTTCTTACAAGAACTCTTCCATTTCACCCCATAACGCATCTTGTCAGTTAACGTCAGTTTCTTACTCATGAACCATGGATCTCTCTAGTGCTTTGCCGATGTGGGATTCGTCTTGGTGTTACATACACTCCACCTTTGAGGATCGACGTTCTCATTGAGAATTTCTCCACCATAATTCAAGAGGGACGCAGAGAGGCTCTAATACCACGTGTTACATGTCAAACATTTTCCTGACAAGATATTGTCTGCTTAGGATCTACACACATTCAAGAGGGATGCGGAGAGGCGCTAATACCACTTGTCACATATCGAAAAATTTCCCAACAAGATATTGTCCGCTTTGGGTCTAGACCCACACAGTTGTTTCCTTGGGGTGCATATCAATGTGACTTCCCATAATGTCACCCATCCTTGCAGTACGCCACAATAAGCATGTCTAACTTCAAAGTTTTTATAAGAATTCTTTCATGTCACCCTATAACTCATCTTATTAGCTAAATTCATTTTCTTACTTATGAACCATGGATCTCTCATTTGCTTTGTGGATGTGGGGTTCTCCTAGGTGTTACATACACTCCCTCTTTGGGACTCAACACCTCGTTCTCCTCTTTTTGTCTAGACTCGTACTGTTTTTGACTTGGGGTGCGTATCAAAGTGACTTCCCATAATGTCACCCATCCTTGCAGTACTCCACAATAAGTATGTCTAACTTCAAAGTTCTTTCAAGAATTCTTCCATTTCACCCTATAACTCATCTTGTCAGTTGAATTTGGTTTCTTACTTATAAACCACGGATCTCTCCTGTGATTTGTTGATGTGGGATTCTCCTAAGGTGTTACATACACCCCGACCTTTTGAACTCAATGTTCTGACTGAGATTTTTCCCACCATCGTTCAAGAGTGACGTGGAGAGGGTCTGATACTACTAGTAACATGCATAACCTTTTCTCGACAAAGATATTGTTTGCTTTGGGCCTAAAAGCGCACGATGTTTGACTTGGGGTGCATATCAAGGTGACTTAATATAAGGCCACCCATCCTTGCAATGCTCCAAAGTAAGCACATTTGACTTTAGAATTTACAAGAACTCTTGTATTTCACCTCAAAATGCTCCTTGTCAATTAAGGCCAGTTTCTTACTTTTGAACCATTGGTCTCTCTCGTGCTTTGTCGATGTGGGATTCACCTAAGGTGTTACATACACCCCCTTTAATTTACCAAAATTTTATAAATACAAAATTATATCATGAATGATTTATAAAGCTAAGAAATTTATTTTATCGTATGTATTTTTCTAAATGGACCCACCCTCGACAAAATCATGGCTACGCCCCTGCTTGCATATCAAGGTGACTTCACATAAGGTCACACATCCTTGCAGTGCTCCACAGTAAGCACGTTTAAATTTAGAGTTCTTACAAGGACTCTTCCATTTCACCCCATAACTCGTCTTGTCGGTTAAGATCAGTTTCATACTTATGAACCATGCATCTCACTCGTGCTTTATCAATGTGGGATTTGCTTAAGGTGTTACATACACCCCCCCCCCCCTTGGGACTCAATGTTCTTGTTGAAATTTCCCTACCATTGTTCAAGAGGGACGTTGAGAGACTCTGATACCACATGTAACATGTCGAACCTTTTCATGACCAAGACATTGTCCGCTTTATGCCTAGACCAGCACGGTTTTTGGTTTGGGGTTAGACCTGGCAATTGGGTCGGGTTGGGGCCTCCTGTAACGAGTCGGGACATGTTGAGTTGGCTGATTTCAGGTCAAATATTGACTTAATAATCCATTAAGTTTCGGGTTGGGTTACAGGTCATTTCGGGTTATGAGCTCTCTCAAAAACAATATCAAACATACTTCATATTTTCTTAAGGAACACTGGTTATCGAGTTCGGGTCATTCGGGTCAACAGGTCTGGCCGTTGACCTACTAACCCACCCAACCCGACCCAAAAAATCATGGGTTATCGGGTTCGGGTCATTCAGATTTCGGGTTATAAAAACTTCTATTTTTCGGACGGGTTTGGGTCGGGTCAACGGGTTGGGTTGTAATTTGTTAGATCTATTTGAGGTGCATATATCAAGATGACTTTCCATTATGTTACTGATGACTGATCCTTACAATGATCCACAATAAGCACGTTTAATTTCAATGTTTTTATATAATGCAGAGCACTCATACAGTCCATGCACAGAAGAACTCCCAAAATTTTGATTACCTATCTATCTTTCTTTTTTACTTTTCTCATTTACGGACGAGTCTATCTTTTCTCACTTTGACATTGGCTAAATATAATATAATTAGCTGACTCTTGCCAATTAAAGAGGGACAGCAGATTGATCATCACCCACAAATTAAAAGGGGTTAACTTTTTTATTTTTAATTTTTTCCCCCTCTTCTTTGGTGGATGGGAATGGGGCAAGGAGAAAAGTAGGCGTGCCTGCCTTTTGTTAAACAAAACTAAAAATATTTCTTTGAGGTTAGACAAGTTGTTACAAACATACCCATAAATTTTCGATTATTAAGTGATTAAAAAATTTGATGCCAACTTACCGTACACTAAGCTTGGCCTTTTCCCTCTGTATCTGTCACTGAATCTTATATATTTGATTTTTAGTTTGCAAATCTGCATGCAATTAAATTTTGTGGAATACAATTGTTATTTCTCTAATCTTCTGCCCTAGTTGCTAACATCTAAATGAGAAAAAAAAGGAAGAAAAATGGATAAGACGTTATTCAGGTACGTGATGTTGAAGTGTTATTTTACTGAATAAAATTGTAAAGGACCCGCTCCAATAACAATTTGCCCATTTCAAGTGCACAATGAGTCATCAATGAGTAAGAAAGAGTATAATTAGAATATGAATAATCATTCTGATCATCATGTGAACCTGGGTGTTTTATTCCTAATTAATTGGCCAACTTTCTGAACTGAGTTTTGGATTGCGTCACACACCATACTATTTTTTGATTGGCACGTACAGATTAACTAAACCAAAATTCCATCTTAAGAAAATCTCTGAAGATTTTAACATTTTCATAAGCAGCATCAAATGTCTTTCCTGTCCATCTCCTCTTCTTCTTCTTCTTCTTCCAAACATTCCTCACTTATATAATTGCATCCCCCCTTCCCCCACATCATCATGGCAAGCCTCTCTTTCTCATCCCCATATTGTATATATGGCAACAGCAAACAAGCATCATATCTTATCGAAAAGGATTCGTGTTATTCCCATATTTTTAGGATAACGAGTACCTAGAAAATTTATATCTTCGATGGAGGATTCACCTTTAACCCCGCAATATTGTCAATTGTGATCATCTTCCCCTTACTGGGCTAGAGAGAGTCTAAGTAAATTCTCTAGGGAGAACTTACCTTTACAAACCCTTTTTTCTACTGCTTTCCCTCGTCTTGAATTAGTAAAACAGGTCATATTTAGTCACTCTCCCGTTAGCCTCCGTCCAACTCCGGTCACTCGAATTACTTTTTTTTTTATGAATGTCAGTCGAATTACTGAAGCATGTCACATTTAGTCACTCTCCGTCAGCCTCCGTCCAACTCCGTTACTCTCTTTGGACGGAAACTACCGGGAGAGTGACATGTTTCAGTGATTCGAGTGACCAAAATTAATATTAATTTTGTCTAATCACTAAACATGACATGATTTAGTAATCTCAATGATCAAATGTGCCATTTACCCCTATAAAAAAACCAATCAAATGTTGAAGCCAGACCAATTAACTAGAACCCCCCCCCCCCCCCTCCCCCCAAGCTAGCAAATCAAAAAGAAGGAGATTTTTTTTTTTTTTTGCCTAGATTTAAATAAGCAGAAAATGAAGAGCACTATATGGATTGGAGAAATATGGATAGTGTTCACGCCAATGAGATCATATATGTGGTGATTGGGACACACACAAATATATACCAACCCACAAAACAAAACAAAACATTATGCTGTAATAATGTATGCATCTCCCAAAAATCCACAAATAATGATTAACCCTCTTTCCCCTCCCGCTTATGTAAGCCACGCCCATGCCTGAAGAGAAAAAACCTGACACTGTTCCTCAATTGGTTCCCTGTACCTGAGAATTGACCCCTCCCCATTTCCCCCACAATTCCCTCCTCCCTCTGTATAAAAACCCCATTCCTCCAAATATTCCCTCATTCCATTTCCATCAACAAGAGAAGCTCACCCGTCTGCATTGCCAAGCCAACAATAGAAAAAAGAAGGGAAAAAAAAAATATGTTGGCAGCAGGAGAAATTGCAGGAATCCATTTCCTCCCCCAGGAAACCCCCTGTTTTCCCCTGCCTCACCCTTCCTCCTCTGCCGCCATCAACAGAATCCTATCCAGCAATTTCCAGGCGGACTACTTGGTCCCGCCGCCCTGCCCCTACCCAAACTACAACTCCTCCAACGGCACCTCCGACGAGGCCGACGAGCAGCAGCTGAGGATCGTCGACGAGAGGAAGCAGAGGCGGATGATCTCCAACAGGGAGTCCGCCCGCCGATCCAGGATGCGCAAGCAGAAGCACCTCGACGAGCTGTGGTCCCAGGTCATCCGCCTCCGCGCCGAGAACCACACCCTGCTCGACAAGCTCAACCACGTCTCCGACTCCCACGACCGCGTTCTCGAGGAGAATGCCCGCCTCAAGGACCAAGTCTCCGCCCTCCGCCACATGCTTACCGACTTGCCCATTGGGAGCCCCTCCTACGACAATAATAATAATACGGCCATTGCTCACAGTCACAGGGCAGACTCCTCTTCATCCGACCAATCCATCCCCACTTCTGTAGACTTGCTTCTTTAATTTAACGCCCACGCCAGACGATATATTGATCTCTCTCTCTATATATATATATATATATATATATATATGTTGTTCTATCAGATCCCTCTGTTGTTTCTTTCAGCTGCCTGACGGACGGATGCTCTGCTTTTCTGCAGTTTTGTACCATCCACTCCATATATATATACAATCTTGGTTTACACATCATGGTCGAAGAAACCGTACCAGAGATCGTACCGGAAAAAGTTATAAGTAGGATATTTTATGGTAAAACCGTGGTTTAACCGTAGTTCAATCGTTAGTACCGTCAAATACTGCCTACCGGATTAACTTCCGATACTAGTATTTTGTGGTTGAACAGCCCGGTACGGTACGATTTCATGGACCAAGATGACATGTAATTAAAGGGCAGTAGTTAATTAACCCATGATTAACCGGATGGATGACCAACTTAATTACTTGAATTTTCTCTTGTCGATCATGAGGTTGAGTATTATTCAACATGAAGGACATACATTCCATGACCTAGCTAGACACAACAAGGATGGATAACAGGGAATTAAAGAAATGTGTGCATTGTTTTCTGGGTGGTTCAGAGGACCCATTTAATTTTCTAATGTCTAAATTTAGCTGTCTTAGTGGTTGATGAGTCGAGGGAGTGTTCAAGCCAACTTATCGCCGCATATTTGGCTAATTCGTCGAAACCTCCTGAACCATATTACTATTCTTTATATGGCAGGAAGAGATAGATATCATCATTATCACCGATAATTTTATCAACCTTCACTAAATTTGTGACATGATATACCATATCCTAACTCGTACAAATTAAAATTGAGGTCTTAGTTAGTTCTATAAATATCATGGTTGTCACGCCGGTCGGCGTGCTAGTGGGTGAACCTGGTTCAACCTGTACCGGTCATAAAACCGGTATGACACCACCGGTATGACCGGCATGATCGATATACGAATCTCTAAGTAAAATGATCTTATATTAATGAATTTATTTGATAAAATGTAATTTATTATTTATTTTATGTGTTAAAAAGTTAAATGTTGATGTTATTTGTTGGATTCAAGTACAAATATTTAGGTATTGACGTTAAATGTCGTGCTTAAATATGAGTACTTGTAAATTATTTGTAATATTAACCGGCATGAACCGGCACAAACCGGTATGTACCACCAGTCGAACCATTCCACTTGCTAAACCGGCACACTGGCACAAACCGGTTTGACAACCTTGATAAATATCATACATTAATATCAATTTAATTAAAAACAATAATTGACAGTCATGATTGGTCGGAATATATCCAACAAATCATGTGCATCATTTTAGTTTCAGACAATTGAGCCGAGGGTTTACTCATAAAGAGTTAGGGTATAATATCATGCTCTAACATTTGGTTAATAAACGAAGATTAGATAGCGTTTTCATATCAAAAGTATACGATACTCTAGATTTACATTAGGGTACTATAGAAGACCAATAAAGTTATTGCACCTAAAACAAAATCAGTATATACATATACACTGTAGGGCTGGGAAATCGCCCAATTCCGTTTAAACCGGATCGATTGACCCGGGTTTTTAAGACCGTATTGGACAACCCCACGACCAAAAGACGGGATTGGATTGTTACCCGATTTCGACCAAATCGAATTTAATGCTATACAACTTGGTCCGCGGTTTTGACCGGAAAATCATTTTGACCGCAAACCCCAGCAGAATGAAACCGTTGTAACCGGAAAAGTAGGACCGGATTCCCAGCCCCTTGTGGGAAGGGAGAGAGCATGAGATCATCGAGCGAGCGAGCAAGGAGAAGACCCACACTTCCATGGGGAACTCGATCGGCTCAGGAGTTGGTTGGTTCAGGAAAGCAACAACTGGACGAGTCGAGAGGGGAAGAAGGAAGAAGAAGAAGAAGAAGACAAAAAATGGTGGAGGGAAGAGGTGATAGTGGTAGTCGTAGTAGTGGTGGCCGAATTCATCATCCCAATCAGTCACACTCCCATCCAACCCTATTAAAGCAAATTTATATAAGGGCAAACAAAAAAGGAGGAGGCCAGGGTCATATTCATCCACTATTATGCACTAAATTACCCACACGCCCAAATTTCAAAACCCCACGATCCCTCGTCTCCATTTACTTCCTGCCTTTTTTCTTCTCACTTTTTCTAGCGAATATAATGCCAAATTTACAAGGTGACAGGCAAAGGGGGAAAACAAAACAACACCAGATAGAAATAGATTTATCAGATCTGTCCCTGGAGAGGGTATCAATCAGTACGCCTGACTTTCTCTCAGGGACAAACACGTTACGTCGTTACAGTAGCTTTCTTTTTTAAGATTTCAGTGTTGGGTTGGAGTTTCTTTTAGACCAATCTGTACTACTAACAATACTGGGCCGGCCGGGCAGCCAACCCTCCATCTCGATTTCTTGTTTTTCAGCTAGCTCATCACAAATCGCGTTTCACCACTAGTTAGTGTTGGGTGGAGCCCCATGGTCGACAACTATGTTTGGGGGGGCACAAGCACAACCCCTATATAGCTTTTCATAGCTAGTCTTTACTTTTTATACCCCTTTCACCTTTGTCTTGTACGTACGTACGTACGTACAATGCATGTATATATATAGGAATGGAAATGGTTCGGGTTTTGTGAAAGGCAAATCCAAACTCATGGGTTTATTCGTTAAAAAAAAATCGAGGTAAAATTCACTGGTTTGGGAAACTCAAACCCAACTCAATCCGTTGGGTATCCGCGGGTTCATGGGGTACCCATGGATTTTTGTGGTAAAAAGTTTATAATAACAAGTTCCTATCAAAATAAAAGTCACACATCAATTTCTTCATACAAATTATCCATACATAAAACATCAGTCTAGAAAATTCAAACAAATCATAATAACACTAAATAAAAGCACACAATTCTTTGTTTTTTTTTTGTTCATTTCCCTTTTTGTTTGTGAGAGAGCTGCAAACCAACAAACATAGTGTGTTCAACTTCAATTATTAATTTATCCCTCCCACTTCTTTTGGGAAACAGGGAACAATACCTTACCGATAAGAAATAAAACATACAGTCAACTTTCTGGGAGAATCAGGGAAGGATTGGCCGATTGGGGGTCGGATCAGGAAGGAGAGGGGGTTTTGGGGGGGAGAGCACAGTGGGGACTAGGGAGGTGGCAGGTGAGCCGTGAATGTTAGATTGGGGAAAATTAGAATTAGATTAGGGTTTGGGGAGAGTAGGGTGACGAACTAAGTGTGGGCGGGTACCACTAAAACCAAACCTAACTCGGTGAACAGTGTAACGGGTTTAAATCCGAACCCAACCCCAAACCCTTCAACACGGATTTTACCCGCGTTGACTGGGTTGGGTACCCGTGAGTTCGGGTTTATTGCCATCCATATATATATATATATATATATATATATATATATATATATATATATAGGATATGGTAACTGGGTGATTTCAAAGTTCGAGTCATAGCCAATCAGGTAATGTTGGGTTGGTTGATTTTCGGTTAAGTATGAATGTAACCTAATATTTTGTTGTAGAGTTTCCAGTCATTTCAGTTTATGCGCATTCTCATTAATTATAAGAACAAACATTCTTGAAATTTGGGCGGCGGCGACGGTGTAATGACTCTAAACAAGGACCAATGGAGAAGGATCGGTGGGGGTAGGGGTGTTCAAATGGTTACCATGGTAATAACCAAACCAAATAATTCTAAATTCTATTCACCATGGAATACAATATCATAACGAAACCTTCCAACTAATACAACAACCAAATTAACCAAACTAAAGTTTATTCGATTTGGTTAATTGGTTAACCAAAATAACCAACATAACACCACATTATCATTAAGTGAACAAAATTTTCAGTTTGTGCATCAATTCACAATTAAATACATGTAACAAATACAATTATCTTACATTTGACTCTTAAGTGGTTATGCAAAGTATTAAGTATGTTTATACAATATATATAAGATATATGGCAAATTACTTAATTGGTTAATTTGGTTTGATTGGTTAGGAGTGCCTGAAAACAAACCAAACCACCTAAACCAAACAAGCTAAATTTTTTAACCAAACCAAACCAATTAGCGAAATTAACCAAACCATATTAGCCAAATACTACTGGTTAAAATGGTTATCACGATAACCACACCGTTTGAACACCCTTAGTGGGGGTGTTGTTGAGTTGAGACTTGAGAGGCAAGGGCAGAGTGGCGACTTTGGCAACTAGAGGAATTGGGCCCAAAGAAAAAGATAGAGTTTTCTTTTTTTTTTAGATAGTTTTTTTCATAATAATTTTGAATTTGTGGATATTGAAATATTTTAATTTGAATTGAAAGGTTTAGGCATCGGTACAAAATCTGACTTATATATAGATTTATAAACCAAATATGATGGTTGTAATATGGAATTGGGAGATATGATAGTCCATATCATAAAGTGGTAAGGAGAGAAAATAAGAATTTTCGAGGACATTTGACGAATTTATTGGGGTTGGTGCAGATTTTCAGCAGCGCAGTGAAAGTACTTTTCAAATCTCCAAAGAAACTTTAATGAGTCATATCTCATTCACTTTACGCAAGATTTCTAAAGGATATGTGTAGAAAATCATATTCTTCATGCTCCACAAGATGATATCCATTTTAATATTTTGGAGCAAAATTTTAACCTCAACATGCTACTGTCATATTGTGATATTATTACTATGGTAATGTAATGATATGAAAATGGTACGAGGTTGTTGTTATCGATCTTACCATAGTGGTAAGCTCATGTTATGACACTAGTGAAATGATGTTATAAAGTCTTTCTATAGTGGAATGATATTGGTATGACAGTGGTATATGATAGTATGCAGTTTTTAACTTAGAGCAAAAAAGAAAAATTTATCTCGTACCACTGTCATATCATGATATTATCATAATAAAATATGATTTATTGATATGAGATTGGTATAATAATGCAATCACTCTTACTATAATGTTAAGATCATGCTATAATATAATAATATTACAACAATAAGTTTTTAAGACCTAATTTATTTTTTTCAAAATATAGCAACATGAATATCATTGTGTAGATCATAATTATTGAGTTCTTTATGTGCATTTTTAAAATTTTTGAGTTAAAATAAAAGAGATATAACATCATGTAACCGTTCTATCATCATGATATTAGAGTGATAACATTTAAACCGATAAATGTTTTGAAGGGCTTAGTTTTTCCTCAAAAAAATAACAAAATGGGTATATATATAGTTTAGATCATAATTAATATGTTTTTTCTATTCAACTTTTTGAATATCAGGTTAAAATGAAGGAAATATGACCTGTTTAAGAAAAATAGTGAATAAAAAAAATGCAAATATGAGAAATTACCAACCCTTCCCGCCTTGTCCATATGAGAAATGTGAACCATCCTAATCAAAGGTAACAGACAGATAAATGTCTTGATTTTATTGTACTCTATTTGTTCCGATTAAAAAAATATGATTTATCAATAAAATGACATCTGCGTGGATGTCATATTTCTGCCACATTAACGACAATCACCAAAATTTAACCATTATTCGGTTAACTCTTATATCTAATGGTCTACGTAAAATGTCAAAAAACTCATAGTTCGTGGCTTTATGTTAAGATTGCCATATGAAATATTTTGTGATGGAAGTGACACTATTTGATAATTCGAGTGTTCTAATCGTATTTGGCTTTTTGTTTTTACAAATGTCAGTCTTTTTGAATTTTTTTCTTTACGTATAAACATTTCAAAATTTGCCAAAATTATAGGATGACGTTCATAATAAACCTTTATGCAAATAGCACAAAGAAATTTAGAAACGAATCTCTATAAAAGGAATTAAAATGGAAACTATATTAGCCCATCCCCCACATATATAAAAATTACAAATATGGAAATCCGAAACCACCAGCGTCCCCCCGAGATCAAAATTGAGTTACAAATATGGCTGCTCTTTTCCGTTCATGTTACCAATGTTTCTTATCACGAACTATATAAATTGACTAGAGAATAGAGATGGCTGGGAAGCATTCACAATCCATTCACAAAGCAATTGAAAGAAGAAAGAACCCTTTGATAGGGAATAACTGAAGATGGCTACGTCTTCCAAATTTCCTCTCTACCTCGCTGCGTTGCTGCTTCTATCTGGTATGTTTTCCCGGCCCCCATAATCCCAAACCAAATACTTGCTATGTTTTTCTACAAACAGTTTACTCATTCTTTAAATATGCATCTCAATGCAAAATATGAACAGGGTTTGCGGTGTCAATTGTGGCGGACGTGACGCCACCAGCTTGCAAAAGGGATGTGGATTGCCTTTGGTATTGCGAGCGGATCCATCAGGGACTTGCTCTTTGCGACGACAAAACTGGCTTTTGCATTTGCCTGCCCAGAGGCGACGGCCCAACTCCTCATCAGCATCATGCTCATGCTCATGATCGTGCTCGTGCTGCACATAATAATCAACGACGTTCATGAGAAAAACTCCCTCGTCATATTCATATATGAAATAATAGATACACTCATGAATCCATATGGTTAGCTAGCAACGAAATTTGATTAGTTGGTGATTACTTATTAGTGTTATTGGAGGGAACTTTGCTCTTATTACTGTTCAGCCGGTACCATTGAAATTGTTTTCTAGATGATCATCTATCCGATGAACTTAATTAATGGATGAATACACAATTTTCTTTCTTTTTTATGAATAACAAATCTACTGATAGTTAACTGGGATCTCATGGCCTACCAATTCTCACACCTGCGATTTGCCCTTTCTTTCTTTCAAGCTTCAACCCTAATTTTGAGTGGTGAACCCTATTAAGTTCTGCTAGAGCATTCCGCAAGCGACTGTCACTAATACTTCTCCGCAAAGATGGAGGAGGCGTTAGCAAGCTCATTCTTGGAACATAGTAAGCGGAAGCGAGTAAACTGTAGTACTGCCTCGGCCAAACAATCAGCAATTGTGTAGTCGTAGGTAGTAGCGGACCCAAGAATTTTACATAGGGGTGTCCTCTTTCAAAAATTAAAGTAAAATAAAAATTATATAATTCTTAAATAAGAAAATGCCCAACTCGTACAAGTTAAAAAAAAGTCAATGATGTATTTTCATATTCTAAAAAAATTATAAAATAAACTTGGTATCTATACGGCTCAACAAATTTGTCTCGGTATATCCTACTAGACAATCATTCACGAACTGACGCATATTTGACTTCTAAATTTTTTCATGATGTAGCTCAAAGCTTAAAGAACACTTTCAACACTTGTCGTACAATCATAAAATCAATACAAATTAAGGGTAGCTTGTAATTAGATTAATTATATTGTTAGGTTTTGAAAATAATTTAAGATAGAGTATAGGATTTTGCTATTACACAATGTTTAGAATATATAAGTGGTATTTTAGAGTCTAGGGTTTAGAATATAACAACAAAAAGTTGTAGCTTAATGGAAATTATATTTATTAGTAATAGTAGTATCCCGGATTTTAATTACTCAAACTACCACTTATATTCCCATACGCAAACTGCAAACGAGAGTAGTATAATCGTTCTTTCAAATTTCAGGGTGTCCCGAACTATTAATTATAATTTTTTTTCTATACGTAAATTACCACCGGGGGTTAAATAATCAATCTTCCAAAATTTAGGAATACCCCTGGGTCTGCCCCTGGTCGTAGGAATATAGCGAACAATAATTGTTTAGATTGGACAAGGTGATGCACAAAATGATAGTCGGTAATAAGATTGATGACATGCATTTTATGCATATTTTAGACCCTGTTTTTTAGATGTTTGAATGTCATAATTATCATATCTTTGCCATTTCTCGTGTTGTTTTGGTGTTATATGTGATTCACTATTGATACCCTAGGACATATCATGATCTTATCGGGCTTTGGTCATTTGCCTCGTAACTTGCTCATTCTCATCCTATTCTATGCTAGGTTTAATTTTATTTTCTAATTTAAGGTCTTAGCTTTTTTGAATAATCGTACTTTCTTTCATTCCATCCAAAAGAAGCAGAGCAATTACAACAAATCGGATAATACAATCAGAACAGATAGCCAATCTGGGTGAAGGGAATTTGTTCTACAATTTCGAGCAACCCAATCGGCTTTTTTGTTGTTATGACGACCAATGAAGGAAAGATGGATCCAATTCGAACAACGCAGAATCTTGGTGATTGAGGCAAGCGTCGCATAACAGCGCCAAGGCCACAAAGAAGGGGCACTCTGAATGGCGTCCACCAAAATCGTACAATCGGAGAGGATCGATGAAGGAACATGGTCATCAGCTGCCACCTGACAAGCTTTAAGGATGGCTTGTGCTTCAGCTTCAATTGGAGTAGAACAAAGAATCCTTCCAGCCTTTCCATCGCAAATCTGTCCTTCAGAGTTGGTAATAACCACTCCAAAAGCCGCCTCCTGTGAAACGTTATCAAAAGATCCGTCACAGTAGAACTTACGAACGAAGCTCGGCGGTGGGCATGATTGAGAGGGAATGACCCCAGGCTGAGATGAAGGAGAGAGAGGTGGAGAGTAGTGAGGCTCAGCCGCATCACGAAAAGCACAAATCGAGGTCATCATCGGGGAGGGAACGACACCTCTGAAAATACACTCATTGCGGGCCTTCCAAATGTTCCAAGCACAGAAGATTTTTTGCCTGATAGAGATTTTTGAGTCTTGATCTTTCAAGGAAAAGATCCATTGGGTAATGTTCACAGGTGAGACGAGAGATGGGACGACATTCTCCCACGTAGCCAAGGCATGAGGGCAATGGAAAAGACAATGCAATAGTGATTCTTCTTCTGCATTGCATAACTGGCATCTTGGGCTAGGAGAGCACCTTCGATTGAAGAGGTTGAGGCTGGTGGCAAGGGCATTACGGATACCTCTCCACATAAAGAATTGGATCTTTGGAGGGAGTTTCAAGGACCAAAGCCATTTCCAGTTATCATCTGAAGCAGGCATGTTGAGATCTTGATGATGAAGATTGTTGAGCTCCCAACGATGATTGCGTAACCCATGGTAAGCAGAGCGGACAGAGAAATCCCCATTCGGGGTGAACTTCCAGGCCCACTTGTCGTCGGTTCCATCGGGGCCAATGCAAATCCGTGAGATTGCCTCAAATTCCTCTATCGTGCAGTGTCATGGGAGGAGACTGAAGTTCCATTTGTTTCCTTCTTCATTCATCCATTCTCGAACACGAGAGGGAGGGTCCAAGTGGGATGAAATCCTGTGACCTTGGGCATGAAGAGAATGAACCCATGGGTCACTATGGAACCACGTGCTCTCTCCCGAACCAATCACCCGAATGATGCCGAGGTCAAGCACTTTCCTTGCATCACAGAAGCTAGCCCAAATCCAAGAAGAGGAACGCCCTTTGCATGCCGAGGAAAAGGAGCCATTCGGAAAGTAGAGCCCTCGATGCACTCTTGCCCAAAGGGCTTCCGGCTCGTTGATAAGTCTCCATCCCTGTTTAGCCAACAAAGATAGATTAAAATCACGAAAATTCCGAAAACCCAATCCGCCATTCATCTTGGAATCATTGAGCACTTCCCCTTTTCGCCAAGGAATGGATCGCTTTGTCATCGAGCCGGACCAAAAGAATCTGTGAAGTAGCGAGTCCATTTTCTTGGTGAGGGAAACAGGAAGGAGGAAAACGCTCATGATAAAAGTCGGGATTGCTTGAATAACGGCCTTGAGTAGAGTCTCTTTTCCTCCATGAGAGAGGGTGAGACTCTTCCAAGATTCTCCTTTCTTTTCCATCCTTTCAATAAGGAACGCAAAGGTTTCCTTCTTCGATCTTCCCCACTCCGTGGGGACGCCAAGGTATTTGTCATGGCAAATCTCTGTGGGGAAATCAATTCGGTTGGTGATGAGAAGTCTGAGATCCTCCGGAGAGTTCTTGCTGAAGAAGACTGAGGATTTCTCCAAATTGACCTCTTGACCAGTAAGCGATTTGTAGGTATTAATGATCTCCAAAATGGCTTCAGCTTCCTCCATTGATGCTTTTCCAAAGATAACAGTATCGTCTGCAAACAAACAGTGAGAAATCCTTGGGCAATTAGGTTTGAGCTTGATACCATGGATGACCCCTTGGGAGACTCCCTTATCAAGTAAAAAGGAGAGAGCATTTGACATAAGGATAAATAAGAAAGGTGAGAGAGGGTCTCCCTGTCGGATGCCTCTTGAAGGAGAGAAGAACTCGGACGGACTCCCATTGACCAGGATGGAGAAGCGCACAGTTCTAACACATTCACTAATCCACTTGCACCAGGAATGGTTGAACCCATAAGCAATAAGCAGGGAGTCCAAGCAGTCCCAATCCACCAGATCGAAAGCCTTTCTCATCTCCATTTTAAGCATCATATCAAACCTCTTCCCTTGTCGACGGTTCTTGAGTTGGTGGAGAACCTCGTGCACTATAGTGATATTGTCTTGGATCAATCGGCCACCACTGAATGCTGCTTGCATCTCAGAGACCAAGCTAGGCATGAATTTCTTGATCCTGGTCGACATGATTTTTGAAACCACCTTATACTTGAAGTTGCAGCAACTGATAGGTCTGAACTGGCTGGCTTTGTCCGGGGATGGAACCTTTGGAATGAGGGCGATGTGTGTATCATTCCATCCCTGAGGAAGTGAAGCCGTGGAGAAGAAGGAAAGAACTTCTTTGACAAAGTCTTCCCCAACTGTGCCCCAGAACTTCCTATAAAAAATGCCAGAGAAGCCGTCTGGTCCTAGAGACTTATGAGGTCCCAGAGAGAAGACAGCTTGTTTGATTTCCTCCCTTGTCACCGGTTTGGTGAGCTCCATGTTCATGTTATCAGTGACAAGCCGAGGGAAACCTGTCAGGAGGTCGACATCAAAGTTGAGCTCCTTTGCTGTGAAGAGTTCCTTATAGAAGTCATTGATGTGGGCAGCAAGCAAGTTTGGTTGTTTGATCCAATTTCCATCCTCATCTTTCAAACCAAGGATCCGGTTGTAGTGTCTTCTGAAGATCGTCGAGTTATGGAAGAAACTAGTGTTGCGATCTCCTTTGGCCAACCATTGGATTCTGGATTGTTGGAGCCACCTAATTTCTTCATCCCGCCAAATGCCATCAAGTTCCTCCAAAAGTCTAGTCTCTTCTTCATGAACCTCCTCTGAACGAAAAGCTTGGGCAAGAAAATCCAGGCGCATTTTAATCTCCTTTTCCCTTTTGTTTTGTGCTTCATTCATCTCTTTTGCCCAAACTTTTAATTGATCCTCGCAACGTTTTAAATGTTGGTCGTGGGATCCTTCTTCAGCCCAAGCATTCATAATTACTTGGTCACAATCCTCCTTGCCAATCCATCTGTCATCGAATCGAAACGGTCTTTTCCTCCATGGTCCTGGCGAGTGCAACTCAAGTCGGACGGCTCTATGATCAGAACCGACATTGCTCTCATGAAAGAGGGTACTTTCATCAAAAACCTCACGCCACGAATGGGAACATAAGGCACGATCAAGACGTCCTTTGATATTGCGGTCACCTCTTCTTTTATTTGTCCACGTAAAGTGCGGTCCCTTATATCCCAAATCAATGAGTCCGTTGTTGAAAATGAAGGTCTTGAAAGGATCAACCGATTCTCGTCTCAACGGACCTCCTCCACACTTTTCGTAGTCAAATAACATTGCATTTAAATCTCCTATTACAACCCACGGTACATTAGCATCACTTCTAAGACTAGAAAGCCTATCCCAAAACGCCCTCCTCTCACTAGGGACGGAGGGGGCGTGAACAAAAGTCATGAAGAAACCTCCACCATAATTAATAAAGACATCAAAAAAATTCCGTCCGCAATCCAAAATTTAGATAGGGAAGCCTGCTGTCCACCAGAGAGCTAAACCGCCGGCTGTCCCTTCCGGGTTGACATATTCACCCTTGAAAAAGTTTTTGCTGATCCTTTTTTGCTCCATAGTCTCTCTAGTGTTCATGGTCTCCATCAGGAAAACAAGAGAGGGGCGAAACCTTCTTACCATCCGGCGAAGGTGATTTTCTGTCCGAGTTTGCCCAATTCCCCGGCAGTTCCAGCTTATATAACTCATTCCTCCCCCGATGGCTTAGAGCTGGCCACCTTCGCTTCAGAGTTATTATGCAACAGTTTCTCCCTTGTTTCTTTCTCTTCATGATATTCTTCATTTGCATCTTCAGCGGTTGTCTTCATTTTGCGACCTTTGACTCTCATTCTAGCATTTCGAGGCTTGCAGCTGTCATCACCAGGAGAGAAATAAGGCTCTCCAAAATCCAGTGGCTGACCATGCTTTCTTTTTTTCGGTTCAGCCTGGCCTTCATTAATCAGCTCTGTAGGAAGAGGAAAGCCAAACTCGTTGGGCCTTCTGTTGAGGTCCATTTTCTTTCCCAATTCTTCCACCATCTGAGAGACATTTGGGTGGTTGGCTTGAGCATGTTGGGCTTGGAGGTTAAGTTGAGACTGAATGATAGAGGCTTGCATATGGGCCTGTTGAGCTTGATAGGGCCCATTCAGAAAATTAGCTTGTTGAGGAAAAAAATGGGCCCAAGCAGCAGCTTCCATCTCCGGTGAAAGGTTCCTCGCAGTGGAGGAGGAGGGGGAGTGAGGATTGAATTTGACAGGAGGTGAGAAGAATGGTAACGCTCCATAGACCCTTAGATTAGGGTCAGGACTAGGGGAGAAGAATCGATGACAGGCATTCCCAGCAGCAGATCTTGGGCTTGATGCAGAATAGCCCGTTGGAAAAGGGTGAGGCGTGAAACCCGGAGGGCCTCGAATACCGTGTTCCATGTCACCGTCGGAGGGAGTTGCCGGTGATCTTGAAGTGGTAGATCCTGTCGCCCGAGAAGCTTTCCCGGGGATCCACAGCTGGTTCTGAACGAAACCTGGAGACCCCGAGCTAGATCCGGCGTCGCCAGGGGAGTTATACACAACTCTTCCCCTAGGGGGAGGGGGAGGGCGAACAGCCCTAGTTCCTGCCTTCATCCAAGGGGTGAATCTTCCTTCTGGTGGGGAAGCAATCCTCTGTTCAGCATCAGCTCTCTTCTTTGGGCACTCTTGCTTTGTGTGTCCCTGCCTTCCACAATAATAGCAGAGGATGTACAGCTTCTCGTACCTGAACCCCAACCATTCTCTTGAGCCTTCAAAAGTGCAGTACGAGCCTGGGGGTAGGGGGCGATTCAGATCAGCTTGGACGAAAACTCTAACAAACTCCATATACTTGTCAGGATTCAGCCTTCTCATGTCTATGCCATGGATCTTTGGAAACATAGCTACAGCTGATTCGACATTAGAGGCGGTTCTTTTGTGATCTGGAATGCCATGGATCTGAACCCAGTAATCTGCAAGATCGAAGTTGACATTTTGGGGTCGAACAGATTCCTCCCATTGCTTCAGCTGGAGGGTGTTACCTGAGATTTGCCACGGCCTTCCTTCCCAGGCATGGTCCATCTCTTCTTTGCGATTGAAGATAAAGTTGAAGGTGTTCCGGATTTTTGAGATATCTTGAACAGATGGCTCACAAAAATGTGACCACGCCCTGTTAATCATACCCACCATCGCTTGCTTGCTAATATCCCTGTCGCCGAACATTCTTCCCACCAGCCTCAGTCGAGTTCCACCATGGGGTTGGGGTGCTTCATCATTAAAAACCGCCTCATGGTCTTCATCTTCCCCTGCTTGCTCTCGGTTGACAAGGTTGCTCATCTTTTTCTTTTCCAGAAATTTTGAGTGGGCAAAGGCGGTATAGAAGTGGGGGAATTTGAGGTTGGGTATGGGTGGGAGTATAAAGAAAAGCGTTTGGTGAATAAATAGGATGAGAAGAGGAGCAGAGGAAGCCTTCACCATCAGAACCTCCATTGAAGGCGGTCCTAAGTTTGGTGAGATGTGATGTTCGGGGGATGAAATTGAATTATGCTTTTGAGGCTCGAGGAAGTTATAGCAGAAGAGGTAGCTGGGTTTTGGCTTAGGGGGTTTAAAGAGGCTGAGGTTGATCCTTCCATTTTCTGTCTCTGACAATTCGTGGGGGATATTCTGGTTTAAGGATTTGTGCATTGAATGGATGAGATCTTGAGGGATTGGGTAGCTGGGGAATGGCCGCTCCTTCCAGAGAGCAAGCAGAGACGCATTAACTCCATTAGCTAGAAATTGCAGATGGCTTTTACTCTTGATGGGATTAGTCCCTGAGATCCAGCAACAAACATGTATCTTCTCCTTTGGATGATTTAAGGAGGCCGAAACAGCACCTTCAGAGAAGGATGCATCTGGAATTCCAGATCTGGATTTTGAAAAAGTAGAGAGGAAAGTTAGCAAGAGAGTTTCTGGAGAGAGAGGCATTATTTTGACATTTTGTTTAAAGGCGACTGATTTAAGGTCTTAGCTTGCTGTGAAGATTTGAACCAAGTTTTGGCTCATTTAATTTCCAGGGTGTTTGAAACGTGAAAAGGAGACAGGTCACGACCAAGTCAAGCCTTGATCGACATCATGACCTGACAGATCACAAGGTGAAATTCTTTTTGCGGTTGTGAACTCGAGCAAAATAGAGAATGAGAGATAAAGGGCCTCGCAAGTCGCAAGCAGACTCGCGAGCGGTAATCAAAGTTCACTACTGTGAGTTCGACGTCATGAACTTCGACCTGCATGTGAACGAGCTTATATATACAAGGGGTTGTTTTTGGACAAATGAAACATCGTAGAGAGAGAAATGTAGCGTTTTAAAGATGTAGAATGAGAGGGGCCATTTGGAGGGGTTTTTTAGCAAAAACTTCATTATCCATGTTAGAAATCGAATAGGAAAAATTAGGGTTACCGATCTGGTTGAGTCGCGGACTAGGTCGCTCTCTTTCAGACGTTCGCGGCACTGCCTTCATTGCGCACGGCAGACTATCAGTCGGTCGCCTCCAGGATGAAACAGCCACTCTAATTTGTTGCTCATCGGTTTTGTGCGAAAACCGGAGCTCTATGAACTCACTCTCTATCTCGTGTTTTTGCTCTCTGAGGTGTGTTTAGAGGGTCAGGAGCGTCTCCTATTTATAGGAGCAGAAAACCCAGAATATTCCCTCTTTCTTTGGGAATAAGTCATATTTTAATTAAGGAGATAATTACTCATAATTAAAATATAATATATTAAGATAATTATTCCTAATTATCTCCATATTATTCCTTTTATTAATTATCCATCTTATTTATGTATTATGGGAAAATACTAGATAATTAATTAGGAATTTCATTATAGCTTTCAAAGCTATTCATCCCAACAATCCCCCACTTGAATAGTTTGAAACTATCTATGAGCATCAACAGTTCCATAAGATCGGGCATAAGCTAAGGCCCCGTTTAGTATCGATTTGTTGCTGTTGTGGTTGCAGTGGTGTTGTGTAAACATATGTACAACCACAACAGGAAAAAACAGAAAACACAAACCTGTTTAGTTGATAATCTGAAATATAATGAAAGCAGGCAACAAGAAACAAAAATGCGCTCAATTACTACTATTAGAATTAAAAACCAGAAAAGAGAGGAGGCGGCGGCAGGGGGAAAGGGGAAAGGATTCGAAGTCGGCGACGGGAATCGAGAGGAGGAGGCGGCAGGGGTTGCGAAGTCGGGCGACAGGGGAAAGGGAGGCGGCGGGGGCAAAGGGACGAAATCGACGACGAGGGGGAGATGGACGATATCGGCGGCCTGAGTCTCGAGAGGAAGAAGTTGAGAGAGGGAGGGAACTGTTGGGCGGCGGGTTTGGGAGAAAATGAGGGTAGGGTTGGCCGACTAGGGTTTGGAGGTGGGTTTGGGAGTTAAAAAATAAGAGAAAATTTTTGCTTTAGGTGGGATTCGAATTGAGGGTTGTTTTAATGAAAACAAACGGGAATCCCGTGTAAAACATGTACAAGAATCAAATCCAAAGCAATAAATTGTTGTTTCTCAAATTTGGGCCCTGTTGTGCAAATCTGATTCACAACAAAAAATAGAAACCCAACTAAACATGTTTTTTTTCTTGGTTTCTCCAATCTTGAAAAACACAACAGAAAACAAAAACAAGCAACAATATTAAACGGGGCCTAAGGTATCGCGAAGATTTGAACCTTAGCGTAGTGGTTACACTTCCGATTTCATAAGGGTGACTCGTAGTCTTGAACCCTATCTCAGACAATGTAGCACACCAGATCTTTTCATTGAGTGATATTCTCTCATAGGCCGTGCGTTTATGGCCATGCACGTTATCCCGGTTTAGTGAACGCTCTAGCAACTTTGTGCCTCCAAAGTTCCATAGGGAGCGGCCCCACTCCCACATTCACATAGGTGAGTCTATCAGAAGTACCCCCAAAGTAAAGTACTTCACTCCACATAGAGTATAGATCTCATTAAGAGTTTAACTCAACCTCCAAGGCTTTGGGATTCATGCTTCACTATGCATGAACTTTTCGCATACTACTCATGACTTGTTATTACCCATTGAACCCATTTCTTGGGATCTCCAGTCTACTGGGTCGGGTTACCATCACTTGTAGTCCGTGGTTCGGTAGGCATAAGTCTCATACTCTTGGCGGTACTTTGGACTTTCTCTCTAGATAATCCTTTCGTCAAAGGATCACCTAGATTCTGTTAGGACCTTACAGGATCCACCCTCATTGCTCCTATCGTTAGGAGTTCTCTTACAGTACTGTGCTTACGACAATTTTGTCGTCTCTTTTCGTTCTAGAACCGGTTCCCTTCTTTAGTAATAGCTGCAGTGCTATCACAATGAATCAACTACCGGAGGGATCGGTCTTTCCCATAAGGGAATCTCTAGTAATGACCCTCTCAATCAACTTTTCTCTTTACTAGCCATCGCTAGCTCTATCATTTCTGATTTCTTAGTTGATTGAGCCAGGATCGTTTACTTCTTAGACTTCCAAGACATAGCTTCTCTATCGATGTTTAAAACACATCCTCTTATTGTCTTGGAGTCCTCTATAGGGTATTCTGATCCGCATCACTATACCCTACCAATACAACAAGAAACCATTGATAACATATATCAAGGCCTACTGTTCACTTAATGTGTCTCGTGACCCTTTTCAATAGCATTTCAATGCTTCATACTAGGACAATCAATAAGTCTGCCAAGTACCCCCACTAAATCGGGTCTCATGTTTATTAGCTGCCTCTCGCAGACTGTAAATGCTAGTACATTCTAACTTTCGTACACCGTCTTAGGTGTTCTTTAAATATTTATACTAGCATCATCAAACATGTATGCATGTGTACATCTTGTATTTGCCTAGTTATTAGGATCTCTAAGCATAACATTTGTTTCATTTAGATCCTTCACATTCAAAATTCTCAACCATCATGGTTTTTCAATATTGACATCACAAGTCTTTGTACCAAAGATCTATGTGTCATTCACAATGCAAGTGTCATTCTCAAAGTTGTACTAAATGCACTTGTCATTCTTAAAACCATGAGAGAGAATCTGATTTTTCACGCCATTGTTTTCGAGTCATTTTCAAATCTTACAATGATTTGTCTAACCATAGACTCTAAAAGCATGTTCAGGAATAACAACCCTATAGGTTGTCCCATGTAGATTTTCCTATCTAAATCACCATTCACAGAAACATGTTTAACAATCCATCTGACGCACAACACTAGCAATCAGCACATACATGGATGTTATTCTACATATGGTGAATAGATAACAAGAAAATTTACAATTTTTCCTTTTTCGCTTAAAGCCTTAGCTATTAGGCAATCCTTATACTCATAAACTAAACCAATAGGTTTCACTTTTCTTTTAAGAATCCATTTATTACCCATGACTTCATTGCCAAGAGGTAATTCTCAAGGATGTCAAATCTTGTTGGATTCTATCGATATATTACCCAAGGCTTTTCAACCAAGAGGTAACTCTACAAGATTTTAAGTCTTATTAGACTCCAATAATTCCATTTCGTTAATAATGGATTCTCCCACAATTCTGCATCTTTATGGAAGTTCAAACTTCTAGCAGACTTGTAGGATCTTTCTTTCTTAAGGTGTAAATAACAAATTCATAACCAAAATCCTTTCGTGATTTATGGTTCATTTGTCTCTTCTGGGTTCATACTCAGATTCATCACCCCCACTAGTTATCCATTATTTCTAATAGTAGGTAGGATATCACCCCCACTATTTCTTAATATAAATGGAATCTATTGACATCAATGGTTTTCACAAACTAATGAGTATTTCGTTTCATAGGCTTATGTGTTTTACAATAACATACACACTCATATGCTCTTCTAGTCATCATGTTACACTGATTCTCTAACCCTACCACATGCATGCCACATCTCGAATAATCAGTGCAATCATAATGCAATTATGCATTTCAAACCATTTCAAATAACTAGTCAGACAGTCAGAGCACTCTAAAGAGCAATAAATTATTTATGGTCTTTTACATCAAGTTTACCCATATCAACATAAATCAGATCTATTGATTCTGATTCTCTAATCACATATTTATGGGTCCTTTAGCTTGGATATACAAAATTCATATTTTTCTCAAGCATCCAATAATAATACGAGAATGCGATATAAGATATTCTAATTCTTCACACAAACACACTTGGAAGAATTTATCTTATCTACTTAACCATTCCTTACATCTAGGAAAGTCAATGACTTTCTAGAGGTAGGGTTCTTTTCCATTTTTCCAGAACCATCAACAATAGTGGTGAGGGTCTTGCCCAACAACACTTCCCCCTTCAATACACCTCAATGTATGATTGAGCTTAGTTCTTTTGTCATACACATGCCTTGAGGCGCTAATATCCAACCACATTCTTCAGAATTACCATTAAGCCCTATCACCTCATTAGTGATTATTACCACCAAATCCTCTTATTTAGTCAAGTTAACACTAGGTTAAACTTGTTCTTACACTTTCGTGTCTTATGACCTAGTTTCTCACAAATTTAACAGAGAACATAGCATCATTCTTAGAGGATTGGGTGACAATCTTATGGTTACCACAAAGGGTACCATTCTATTTGGTATGGATCTGGTTCGGCTTGCTGCTATCATTCTTGAAACTTTAATGTTTCATAACAGCCTAAGTGGTTCGTGTAGTACTAATAATAGTACTTCTTACAATATCGTTATTATGGGCAATAAACACATTCTATTCCCATATATTCTTCAATGCTCACATTTAGACAAAATTATTCTTTCCATAGCATGTATTCAAACTTATACTCTAGTCATCGAAAAAGACACATCTCAATGTCAAGCATTGACTCTAGCTTCTTTAGCATTCTCAAAATTTATCAATCTCATGCATAGAGCTATATTAAATAAGTTCCAATCTATCATTCATGAATGACACACGAGAATGATATCAGTTTGTACCTCTTTCGAGAACGCATCGCCTTCTCGAACAATTGAGCTTTACAAAGCTGGAAACAGGTCGGCCCATCACCACAAATTCATCAGCGGCCATTACATGGCTGGATAGCTTGATTTCTTTAACCTATAATAAATCAAACTCGCCTGCTTAACCCACGCACATGTCCACCTATCCTTTTTTGCTGATGGGCCTCAAACAATAAATTGGACCGGGCACATTCTTTCATTAACTTGGCCCAACTGACTGCTAGACCCAGTCTGCCTTCCCGTCGCGAGGCATACTTCCGACGTCCTTGTCCAGTAGGCAGTAGCCACCTATGTTTCTCGGGCAAAGCAAAGCCAGATAGGAAAGTTAATTGTGGGGTCGTTTGGATGGAGTTTTTGTATGAGTTATTGGCTAAATTACACGTTTAGTCATTCAAATTATACAAATCTTTCACATTTGCCACCCGAATTACTTTTCTTTCTTATTCGCCACTAACTTTACGAATCGTTGCACCGTTAGTCACTGGCCGTCCAATTCCGTTAAAACCATCCTACGTGGCAGTCAACTAAACCCTTTGACCGTTAGTTTGATGACGTGTCAATTAAAAAATAATATAAAAATAAATATTAATTTTAAAATTAAAAAATATTTCACCTTCCTTCTGACTTCTTCCTCCGAGCAGCGGCGGCCGTAGCAGTGCCGGAATCCTTCGCCAGAAAAGTCCCTCCGCCTTGCTGGATGAGGGAGGAGACTGTCGAGCTGATCAAGGCCAACCGCGAGAAGTAGTTCGCCGTCAACCGCGGGAACCTCCAGGCTGCCGACTAGGACGTCTTCGTCGCCGCCCTGGCCGACTCCCCGGCTCCTTCCGACCCTCACAAATCCGTCGTCCAGTGACCGAGAAGATGCGGAAGCGGTACTGCGCCGATAAGCAGCGGTGTGTTAATTTCCTCCCAGCAACACTTATCCGCTGCGGAACGGCACGCGGCGGCGGTACTGTTGGAAATGAAGAGACCGGACCCACGAATGCAAGGCATTCCTGTACTGCATCGTATTGCATCTCTTGTGGCTCTACTGCATGGGTCCAATCCACCTACAATCCTTTTGACTTTAATGATTCCACTTGCAATTACATTCTGATCGGCAACAAAACCTTGAATTGAGCTACTTTGACTCCAAATCAAATTATTTATACTCACCTCACAGTTTCGACTCCTTAAGTCCGGCAGGTGAGGAAATCACCGGGCAACGAGCAAAGCCCACGAGAAGGGAATGCGTCCACGGACAAGTCGGAGATGTTGACAGCGACAGCAGCAGCAGCAAGAATTGGGGGAAGGAATTGGTAGCAGATTGAAGTGTGGCCTACACAGAAGTCCGGTCTCTTCATCTCCAGTAGCACAATGCCGCCGCTCCACACTATTTTTCTGCCTTAGATCTGGATATGAACAGAAGCTCAATTAGGAGTTCGATTGGATCCAAGGATAAGTGTTTTTTTTAGCAAAAAGGATAAGTGTTTCTGGGAGGAAGAAGTGGACGAAAGATAGAAATATTTTTTAATTTTAAAATTAATATATATTTTTATATTATTTTTAAATTGCCACGTCATCAAACTAACGGTCAAAAGGTTTAGTTGACTGCCACGTAGGATGATTTTAACGGAATTGGACGGCCAGTGACTAATGGTGAAACGATTCGTAAAGTTAGTGGCGAATAAGAAAGAAAAGTAATTCAGGTGGCAAACGTGAAAGATTTTTATAATTTGAGTGACCAAACGTGTAATTTAGCCATGAGTTATTTGAACCCAAATAACTCATACAAAAACTCCATCCAAACGACCCCACAATTAACTTTGAGTTATTTGGATGCAAATAACTCACAATGAGTTATTTGGATGCAAATAACTCGTTTGGCAGCGTTTTACTGAAATGAGTTATTTGGACAGTGAGTTATTTACCAATAACTCAAAACGAGTTATTTGAAATAACTTATACTCATGTGTTATTTCGAAATAACTCGTTTTATCACTCTGCTTTTACCAAATACCACATGTCAAACACCACATTTTCATGGTTGAACCAAACGAGATACTTTATTTCAATTACCACTAAAATAACACTGAAATACCACATGAGAAATAAATGAGTTATTTGACAGTTCAAATACCACATTGACAATTAACTCATCCAAACGATCCCTGTAAGTAATTAATTGGACGAGAGCGACATATTATACGTAATTGAAGGGCACAAAACTACTCCCTTATTAGTTATTTCGTATCCCGGTCCGCCGCTACAATTAATTGCCCGGAAGAACCCACAAATTGCATTCCCATCAAGCTCTCTATGGTTCACGGTTTTTTCATCGATTCTTTGGCCGAAATTTTCCCTCGGGAATTCTTCTATTCCCTGCCGCAATCAGTTTCCTTTAACGATCATTATTGTGCCCACCGCCGACGACTCTGTATACCAAACTCCCGCCAAGTTAATCCCGCCAACTCCAGAATATAGAGTAGAGAGATCCGGGGATTAGGAGGGGTTTGCGATAGGTGGAGGACAGCAATAATCGCTTCCAGTCCCTTCCTTTTTCTCCACCGCAAGCACAAAAGCTTCCCTTGCTGGGACTTATGACAAGAGCAATTAATAGCAACCATGGCGCAATTTTTTTTTTTTTGCGTAAAGGGAGGCAAAAGCCGAGAACAAGTTACAACAGGGCCCTACAGACCTGAAAGATGAGGCACCACAATCCGGCGCTCAAAAGCAATACCCATGGCATCTTCTCTAACAATAGAAGCTAACTCCGGGAGCGGGTTAGCAAACTCCTGTATACCGTAGGGATAGATGATACTGTGCTTCGAGAGCCAGTCCGCGACTCTATTCCCTTCCCGATATACATGAGTGATGCTAACCAACCAGTCCTGACTGATCTTCCTACGAATCGCCGAGAGAAGGGTAGCATGAGGATGAACAAGGTCATTTCTATTGTTGATGAGCTGGATCGCAAGCTGGGAATCAGACTCCAGGCGGACCGCCCGACATCCCTGCTTCCAAGCCATATCCAAACCATGAAACACGGCCCAAAGCTCGGCCAAAACTGCAGTCGCCGTCCCAATGTTTGCAGTGAAGCCAACAATCCATTTACCTGTCCAGTCGCGGAGAACCCCTCCAGCTCCAGCGGCTCCCGGGTTGCCGTTAGAGGCCCCGTCCACATTAAGCGTCATCCAGCCAAGCATCGGAAGGGTCCACCCAACCATCGTCATCGTCCGCTCGGTCACAGTCCCTCTACCATTGGGAAGAGGAGAAGGAGCTTGCCAAGCCTCATGCCAAAGCTTGCTCTTAGTCATAATCGAGAACTCAAGGGAGGGAGGGGAGAGAGCAGAACTCTGACCTTTGAAACAGGTCGTGCATCTATTCTTCCAGATAAGCCAGGCTGCAGTGCTGAAGAAAGCAGGCCAGGTCATGCCCGATCCCATAACCTCGGTACTCTTTAGGTTCTCGCGTAACCAACTGCAGGCCAGGCTGTAGTGTTGAAGAAGCTGGACTGTCTACTCACCGGGATGTGACGGAGCCAGAAGTACAGAGCCGCGCTGCAGTCCCGCAGAATGTGAATAATGGACTCGACCGGGTCTCCACAGCTGGCACAGCTCCGATTGGTAGTCACTTTCCTGGAGAAAAGAAGCGACTTTGTCGCCAATTTTCCCAAAACTGAAAGCCACATGAAACTTCTGATCCTTTCTGGAACCGGAAGGCGCCAGATAATCTTCCAAATATCCTCATCTGCGTCAGGCGTCCGCTGGTTTTGGAGAGAATAAGCAGATTTCACCGAAAATCTCCCATCAGACGAAGCGGACCAGAAAATGGTGTCATCATCAGTGGTCATCTTGTCGACACCAATGCTGAGAATCTTCTGGAAGACGTCGCTAGGAAGCAGGTCCTCGAAGAGCTCCGTTCGCCAAGTTCCATCATCCTTCACAAACTCCTCGATCGGCTCAGCTACAAGGGATTCCGGGATTTGGTCGATAGCCACCTCCTTGAGCGGAACCTGCAAAACCCACGAATCCAACCAGAATTTAGTGCGTTTTCCGTTCTTGACATTCCAAGCACAACCTTGCCTAAGGAGACTATAAGCTTTAGCAAAACTTCGCCAGGTAAAGGAACTTCCCTGAATTGGCCGGATGAGATCCAGATTCTCCCGCTGCCGACCATACTTAGCCGTCATCAGCTGAGTCCAAAGGCTGTCTTTCTCTTTCATCAACCTCCACCCGCTCTTAGCAAGCATCGCAAGGTTTGCTTGCTTGAGAGATCTTAAGCCAGCTCCGCCTTGCAACTTGGGTTGTGTCCGCTTGTCCCAGGCCACGAGATGCATCTTCGACTTATCATCCTTGTCTCCCCAAATGAAGTCCCTGCTCATCCTGTCAATACTCTTACAAACCGAACTGGGGATTAATTCCGTGTTCATGCAGTAAGTGGGAAGAGAAGATGAAACAGATTTAACCACAGTAAGTCTAGCCGCAAAAGAAAGTCTCTTCGCTTTCCAAGGAGCTAGTTTCTTCTGGATACGAAGCAGAAGGCTCTGGTAGCGACTTTGAGTGATCCTTCCATGGATAGTGTGAAGACCCAAGTATCGTCCAAGCTCCGCTTTCAGAGGAATATTAGCTCGTCTACTAAACAGGTTTGCTTTCTGCCGATCCACGTTAGGCGACACGTACAACAGAGACTTGCTGTAATTCACTCTTTGACCAGAGCTGGAGCAGAAGTCGTCTAAGCACTGCCGAATGACCCGGATCTGTCTCATCTCTGCTTTGGCAAATAACAGCAGATCGTCTGCAAAAAAGAGGTGAGTGAGAGGAGGTCCTCCTCTTGTCAGGTGAATGGGTTTCCAGCTTCTATTATTAACAGCCTCATCAATTTTATGAGATAAACGCTCCATGCACAAAACAAAAAGGTAGGGTGAAAGAGGATCTCCCTGACGAACTCCACGGGTCGGGGTCAAAGCTTGGGACAGTTCCCCGTTCCAGAGAATCCTCATCCGGTTCTGCTCCACACAGTACATGATGCAATTAATCCAGGTGCTGGGCAGCCCTACTTCTTTGAGAGTGTCATGAAGAAAGTCCCATCTGAGCATATCATACGCCTTCTCCAAATCGATCTTCAAGATCATCCCTCCCTTCTTCCCTTTCTTCCTCTCGAGGGTGTGGAGAGCCTCTTGCACTACTATGATGTTGTCCGTCGTCTGCCTTCCTGGGATGAAGCTGTTCTGTCTTGGGGAGACGAGTTTCCTCATTACCGGCTTCAATCTGTTGGTCATTGCCTTGGTGATGGCCTTTAGATTGACGTTGTTGAGAGAGATAGGCCGCAGTTGAGAGACCAACTCTGGGTTATCCACCTTCGGGATCAACACCACCGTCGATTCGGAAACAGCCTCAGGGAGGGTACCTGTAGAGAAGAAATTGATAGCCATATCGTTTAAAGCCTTACCCACCACTCGCCATATCTGTTGATAGAACACCGCTTGAAACCCATCCGGACCGGGGGCCTGATACGGCTTCATATAAAAAATGGCTTTGTGGATGTCCATGACTGTGAACGGACGCAGAAGAAGCATCCAATCCGCCTGTTCAAGTCTGGGGAAAGCGTTCCTAGGCAGTCTATCTTCATAGGAATCATCATCCTGCAAGTACAGCCGAGCCAAAAAATCGAAAACAAGGTTAGAAAGGGCCTGAGGGTCCTCCACCCAGTCTCCATTAGTATCACGGAGAGCCAGAATCTTGTTGCGCCTTCTCCGAACGTTGACTTGATGATGGAAGTAGGCTGTGTTTCTCTCCCCGAACTTCACCCATTGCTCTCTAGACCGCTGAAACCACAGGAGCTCTTCCTGCTCGAGCACCTTGTCAAGCTCAGTTTCTAGCTTGGAGTGTAGCTTCGCCAGAGCTGGAGAGAAAGTGTGAGAAAGCCTGGATTCAACCCCTTTCAGTCTGCCCAACAACCTCCTCTTCTTCTGCTGAATATTCCCAAAAACATTCATGTTCCACTCCTTGAGCTTCTCCGCTAACGAGGTAAGGGCTTGGTGAAGCTGAGCGTCTTCCTCCCAGGTACCTGCAACAAAATCCTGAAAGTTGTTATGAGTAAGCCAAGCCGCCTCAAATTTAAAAGGACGAGAATCGGTCAAGGAGGGCTCCTGGGTAGCCACTGTGGTCAGAATCGGATTGTGGTCAGAGTGGAGGCGGGGGAGATGCAACACCGTCATGGTGGGGAAGCACTCATTCCATTGCAGATTACACAGACTTCTATCTAGTCTGCTGGCTTTGTGAGTCTGAAACGAGTCTCCCCTAGTCCACGTGTACCTCGAGCCTAAAAAACCCAGATCGATCAGCTCGGCCATATTAATCCTGTCATTGAAATTCCGGCATTTCCTAATCGTGGCTGCTGAGGAGGGGCCAGAATTCTCCGCAAGGGAACGGATGGCATTAAAATCCCCGGTTAGAATCCATGGCTCCTCAATCCTCTTGCTCTGCTCGATAAGGCTGTCCCAAAGAGGCTTTTGGAGATGCTGCCGAGGTGAGGCATAGACGGCGGTCAGAACCCACGAACGACCCCTTCCTTGCTGCACGCGGACGGAAATGTGTTGATTGCAGGCCGACAAAAGTTTAGTAGAGAAACGCCCGCCATCCCATCAAATCCAAATACCACCTTTCCGGCCTTCAGCATCCACTCTAATGGAATTCGGAAAACCGAGTTTATCACAGACCGAATTAGCTGAATTCCCGCTGATCTGCGGTTCCAATAGGATCACGAAATCCGGCCGATGCTGACGAATGCTGAATTTCAGCGCTCGAACAAACGCATTACTACCTGCACCACCAACATTCCACGAAAAAATTTTAACTAAAGGTTTAAAAGACATAATAAAAAGTAAAGCAGAAGAAAGGAGGAAGAGGGAGCCCCGATCACAAAGGGAGCAACTGCCGCAAACAGAGGAAGGCGACTGCTCCAATTAGACCGCTGGAGATTGCGGATCACCCAGCGAAACCCTGTGTCCCGAAGCCGAGACTGGAACATCATTCCCTCCTTCAGTTGTCGTGCGTTTCATGGTCGAGTGAGCTGCTTCTATCCACGCATTAATCTCCTGGAGCGTGAGAGCCGCCATCCTCGTCTTCGATTTTATTCTCTTGTCCTTCATCGGGGACCATATCTGGAGAGGGCGGCTGGGATTCAGCTTCGCCGGCGATCCTTTTTTAGTCCGATCCTTGGAGTTCTTCTTCCCCTTCGTTCTGCTTGCCGCCGACGGGGAGGAGAGATCTTTTCGGCGCACAGACCCTTCGCTCTGGGGAGGAACCTGGACCACTTGCATTTTGGTTCCGTTCGGGCCCATGGTAACTGTCGTTGAGGGGGGTCTGAAAGATATAACTGATGGGCTAGCAGAAGCACTTGGCCCATCTAGAGTACCACCAACCGGGCCACTCGTTGGCGAGGACGATGAGGCCGCTTGAAGACTGGACGATGGAGAAGCTGGGGCCTCAACGGTGGGCTTTGTCCCCTTTTTAACAGCCGTCCCCTGAGATGGGCCAGGGCCCAGTAAGCTTTTTTCAACGGGAGGGTCCTCCCCCCTCACAACCTCTTTGCTGTATCTTCTTCCTTCCCCATTAGGTTTGCCTCCCTTTTCTTTCCTTTCCTGGACAGAGGGACATTGTTGTCGCGGCGGACTCTGAAGCGCCACCATCGGTAAGGAATTTTCCAGATCTTTGTTTTTCAATGTGCTCTTTCCATTCTTGGCCAAGAGCCCATTATGTTGATTCCCCGATTCCCTTTCCTTTCCTTTAGTGGTGTTCCCCTCAAATGCACAATATTGAATATATGGAATTGAGGGCACGAAATTACTCCCTCCAATCGCCATTGTCTTGTCGCCCACTGTTTGCGTCTCGGTTACGATCTTTCTATGCAAAGCCAGATGCGATAATCGATCTGTTCGGTACATATGACAGCATCCGAACGTCTTAAAATTGTTAGAAATCGAATAGGAAAAATTAGGGTTACCGATCTGGCTGAGTCGCGGACTAGGTCGCTCTCTTTAAGACGTTCGCGGCACTGCCTTCATTGCGCACGGCAGACTATCAGTCGATCGCCTCCAGGATAAAACAGCCACTCTAATTTTTTGCTCATCGGTTTTGTGCAAAAACCGGAGCTCTATGAACTCACTCTCTATCTCGTGTTTCTGCTCTCTGAGGTGTGTTTAGAGGGTCTGGGGCGTCTCCTATTTATAGGAGCAGAAAACCCAGAATATTCCCTCTTTCTTTGGGAATAAGTCATATTTTAATTAAGGAGATAATTATAGGGGTGGGCAACGGGACGGGACGGGATACCCGTCCCATTTTAAACGGGTACCTAGTCCCATTTGGAGACCAAAGTCCATCCCATATCCCAAACCCATATGGGAAACGGGTACCCATTACCCGTACGGGACGGATAACGGGTACCCATACTACCCATAAATACCCAAAGTTTAAATGACATTTTACCCAAAGACAATTAGTCAATTACATCCAAAGCATTCATTTCAAAACACAAAATGGCTGCACAAGTAGCAACTTACACCAATTCCTACAACCCAAAGGAGGGATGATGATGAAGATGAAAAGGAATAAGGAAGGGGAAAGGACCAAATAATAAAACCCAGAAATAGAACAAGTTCTGCTTCCTGGAAAGTGCCATGATTCAGTAATAATAATAATAATAATAATGTTGTTTCTACTCAAATCAATCATCAGTTTGGCAAAATAGGGTGGGGAAGGTGGTGAATTTTGCAGCAGCAAGCAAGGGTGCTCCCACACTTTCCCACTGCCATTACTTCGCCATTACTTAAGCCTGAGATCTTGGGATACTCACCTGCCAAAATGAAGCATATATTTCTCATCAGTATGTTTTCCTTAACTCAACCTACACTGCAGAAAAAGAAACTTCGGGTGTGCCACCATGAATGGCGATAAGTAATATAGAAATAAAAAAGACAACAACTAGTTGAAATGAAACGACAAGCTAGGGCCCGACGGATTCCCAAAATGAGCTGGATACGAATGGATTTTGAATTGGGTTGGGCCTGGGCGCATGGGCTGAATTATATGTCTTTGTAATTTGAATGGGTACAACGGGTACCCATATTACCCAAACGGGTATTCGCGGGTAACCCGCGGGTACCCATATTAGGACTGTACAATCCCAAGTCCCATCCATTTAAAATATTACGGGTAATATGGGTACCCGTAACCCTTAAAAAACGGGACGGGTACGGGTATACCCAAATACCCGTTTCCCGTTGCCCACCCCTAGATAATTACTTCCATAATTAAAATATAATATATTAAGATAATTATTCCTAATTATCTCCATATTATTCCTTTTATTAATTATCCATCTTATTTATGTATTATGGGAAAATACTGGATAATTAATTAGAAATTTTATTATAGCTTTCAAATCTATTCATCCCAACAATCCAAGCCTCAAAAGTCAAAACCATCCATGAACAGGAAGGAAATATTTGATTAAGGTGGAGAAGATGAATCTAGCTACTCATGGTTTTTTCTCCTTCTTCATTTTTGTACTCCATTTCTCTCTTTATGCTTTAGCTCTCTGGCTGCTTAGGAATATGAACTATAGCTCTAAGATTTGTTATGGGTTTGTATGTAAAGAATGTTTGTGAGCCTATTTCCTATATCTATTAATGGCTATTCATGATTTCCTTGTGCTTGTGTTGCAGGAGCGGAACCGGGATTTAGGGTTTCGGGGGCCAAAGTTATGTACTTTCGCTGCGAAAAAGTCAAAAAATTAATAAACATAATAAGAGAAAATATTAATATTAAGATAACTGCATTCTTTAAGATGAGTAAAGTCACTCAAAATAAGAACTCAATCAAAAATTTATAACATGATAGGTTCAATAAAAATTTGAAACAAATAAAAAAAAATCAGTACAGTATTTCAATGTTGTGTAACACATCTATTTCATAATTGAAAAGTTAATTTTATGCAACGCCATAGTATTTTCACTCGAAATAAGATTTAAACGTAAAATTTAGATATGACAGGTTCAATATAGATTAGAAACGGAACAAACAAATTAATATTGCATTTGCATCTCAATAATACATTTCGGTGTTGTGTAACCCATCATATTTTGATAATTGCCAAATTAATGCATATTTGCGTATATTAGCATTTAAAACACACAGTTAATAACGCGGCTCTACGATCTACGGCAGACTGCAATGGAAGCTCTGCGTCCTCTATTTCCCTATACCGTCGCTCCAATATCCAAAAAGCTAGGGGTGTTTAAATGGTTACGATGATTATTACCAAATTAAATAAGGCTAACTTTTATTAACCATGGATTGCAATATAATAACCAAACCGTCCAAACAAATACAACAACCAAATTAACCAAACTAAAGTTTAATCGGTTTGGTTAATTGGTTAACCAGATTAACCAATATAAAATCATATTATCATTAAGTGAGAAAATTTTCGGTTAATTTCTCAATTCACAAGTTATAGTTGACCCTTAACATAAATACATGCAACTAAGACAATTATCTTACGGTTAGTATAGAAATATTCACCAAACAAAAATTTATCGCAATGGTATGAGTTAATGAATTGTTGTGTTTGTTTGAATTGACTTAGTCTTTTAGCAATTTTTATAGGCTGAAAAGGACCTTGCTTTCAAGTTTCATCCAACATAATTTATGAGATTTATCTAAATTAGACGGTCATATGTTGTGGTCTACTACATATACAAATATACACTATAGGAACAATATCAAGTTTTATATTTTATGAGTCTAAAAAGATGAATGTTTAACTCTTGAGTGGTTATTCAAAGTATTAAGTATGTGTATATATTAGATATATAACTAATTATTTATCTGGTTAATTTGGTTTGGCTGGTTAGGAGTGTCTAAAACCAAACCAAACCACCTAAACCAAACAAGCTAAAAACTTTAACCAAACCAAACCAAACCAATTATCTAAATTAACCAAACCAAATTATCCAAATAGTACTAGTTAAAACGGTTACCATATGGTAACCACACCGTTTGAACACCCTGCGAAAAGCAGAAGGCGACAATTAAAACCGTCCCTTCCACTTTCACATTTCCTCCCCAAGCACAAGGAAACACCAACCACACCAACCTCTTTTTTTCCCTCTTTCTTCACTGTACCCCTTTCAATTGTCGTGTTCTGCGACTGCAAATGCTCATTTGGCTTATACTTCGTGCTCTGTTAGCAACGATAACCACAATTGGATGGTGCTCAACCCTTCCTCTACACAAACCCCACGAAATCATATATTGAAACCCAAGAGAGAACTAATCCCTCTTGCATGATCGACATCTCAAAGAATGCCTTTCTCCATAAACTTCAACGGGAACTAACAACGAAGTGGAACAGAAGATGAACCCTAAAAACTTGTGTATTTCATTACAATCTCTAGTCTATAGGCAGAGCATTACAGGAAGAAGACAAGCAAAGTGAACTGTTTGTTTGGAAGCTTGGAAAGGAAACAAGACAACCTTGGGTAAAAAGAAAACAACGATTGAAAGGGAAAGACGAAACGGTGGCGTTCCGAGGCCACGCCTTCTCTTGAAGCAACACAAAAACGGTGGCGTTCCAATTAGACTCCTTCTCCTGTCTTGAAACGCTATCGCACTGAATTGTGACCGTTGGAAATGAATTTTCCTTCTGTTACCCCACCAGATTAACCAATATAAAATGAATTGTGACCGTTGGAAATGATTGCGCACACCAAGCTTGGAGAGCAGAGACAGAAATGGAGCTGGAGATAGGGGTTTGGTGAACAAATCGGCAGTTGGTGAGCTGAGGAGATATGAAGAAGCTTGAGAGTCCCTGATTGTGTCTTTTCCCGAATAAAATGACAGTCCAGCTCGATGTGTTTTGTTCTTTCGTGGAAGGTAGGGTTTTTGGCAATGTGAATTGCGCTCTGATTGTCGCAATACAGTGTTGCTGGAACTGAGGAAGTAGCTTGGAAATCTGCCAGAAGGTATTGCAACCACTGTATTTTACAAGCTGTTTGGACGAGTGCTCGATACTCTGCTTCACATGATGATCTTGAGACTATTCTTTGCTTTTTGCTTTTCCAGGAGATTAAAGAGTCACCAATGTAGATACAAAAACCAGTAGTTGATCTTCTGGTGTCAACACAAGCTGCCCAATCTGAGTCAGCAAAAGCTTTCAGTTGAAATGTGCCTTTTGAGGGGAAGAAGAGTCCAGTTGCTGGTGCAGACTTCAGATACCTTAGAACACGCAGAACAGCCTTGTAGTGTGTGATTGTTGGGGAAGACATGAACTGACTCAGTTGCTGGGTTGCAAAACTGATGTCAGGACATGAGGTGGTGAGATAGATCAGTTTGCCCACAAGGGTTCTGTAGAGTTCTGGGTCATCAAATGCTGTATCAGGGGCATTGCTGAGATGTAGTTTGTAGTCCATAGGTGTAGTCACAGATTTTGTATCCAGAACATGAGCTTCCTCTAGGATTTCAAGAGTGTACTTTCTTTGACTGATGTGAATGCCAGATTTGCTTCTAGCCACTTCAATACCAAGGAAGAATTTCAAATCTACCATGTCCTTAATGCTGAATTCCTTGTGCGGAATCTCTTTTAATGATTGAATCTCTTCAGGCTCTGATACCATAACAACAAAGTTGAGTTGGGGGAAATGAAAATCCTAGAAGACTTGGGTGTTTTTCATTCATACTTGGGTTTAAATAGGCAAAAGTTTTGCACTACAAGACAACATGTGCAAGCTAGCATTTGGAGACTACAAAGATAAAACATTAATTCAAACTAAAGTCTAAACACGCATTGACATTATACTAAACTTGATGATGATGATTTCCTCTAAACCTTGTCGATCCACTTTGAGGATCATGGTCGCCGGTTTGAGTCTTGACGATATTGTAATATATCCTGTTAGCCATCGCCTTTCTTCTTTTCCATGGCGGACAACCAAGCCGCTCCAAATACACAGGCAGAGCAACAAAATGTGTCTGCCCCCATTCCTCTTGACCCTCTATAAGACCCTTTCTTTCTCCATGGCTCCGAGCAGCCTGGATCTCTTCTCGTCGCTGAAACCCTCACTGCCACGAACTACAATGACTGGAGTAGGGCGATGCTTAATGCACTTGCTGCTAAAAACAAAGTTGATATCATCAATGGGACAATCCCAGAACCAGGCTCTGATACCATAACAACGAAGTGGAACAGAAGATTGAACCCTAAAAACTTGTGTATTTCATTACAATCTCTGGCCTTTATAGGCAGAGCATTACAGGAAGAAGACAAGCAAAGTGAACTGTTTGTTTGGAAGCTTGGAAAGGAAACAAGACAACCTTGGGCAAAAAGAAAACAACGACTGAAAGGGAAAGACGAAACGGTGGCGTTCCGAGACCACGCCATCTCTTGAAGCAACACAAAAACGATGGTGTTCCAATTAGGCTCATTCTCCTGTCTTGAAACGCTGTCGCACTGAATTGTGACTGTTGGAAATGAATTTTCCTTCTGTTAGGAACGCCCACCAGATCTTCTTCTTAGTAATCTTTCCTCCTTCACTCTGCTGACCATCGAGGCTCAACCCTTCGACAACCTTCAAAATCTGCTGTAGAATCGATAAGAGACCAGAGCAGCGTCGTCAATCTTCAAGGAAACGATGCAGCTACAAACCCACCTTCATCATCGTCTACAGAGAGAGTGCTTCCAATGAAACGACGGAGCTCCGACTTGCCTAGCCGCCATCCCATCCTCGAAGGGAAATCAGAGGGATTGGGATTAAGATAAACGGGGATTGCTGACGGGATTACCATGAAGGAGAAAATGAATGGTCGATATCGATACATAGACCCAATCAAACGGTTCTCCGCAGGTGTTGTAGAGAACTTACCGTGCACCATTGCACACCCCACTAAACTCCTTAAGTATACTTAAGGATTGTATATTCTAATAATATTATCATATATAACATAGAATTACAACTAATTCGTCCATTACCCTAACCACTTAACCTTCAATTTTGAATCAAAATTCAAAATCCAAAACCCAAATTTGTGAACCTAAACCCTAACTCTAAATCCCTAAACCATTCAAATCAAAGTAAATCTTGAATGATTTTGTTAGAAACACGTTTCTACCATATTATTATTATTATTATTAGGATTTTATTAATATGGTTAGTAATCTTTTAGTAGAATTAAGATTATTAATAGGGTTTCTTAGTATTCCCTATAAATATGTACTTTGTCATTCATTCTCAATTAAACAAGAACAATTATTCAGAAAGTATCTCCTAAAATCCTAATCCTCTATCCTCTAATTTCTCGATCTCTAGCCCTCTAAGGCTTCGGCAGATTCTCAATTCTATTCTTCTTCTTCCCCAAATTCTCAATCTCAATCCCTATTCCTATCTTCTAATACCTAAATCCCCAATTCTCTTCTCTAAACCCCTAAAACCCTAAATGTCGATCCAAACCGCAAACCCGTTAAAAACTATGTTTCTAACAGATTTTTGTACAAATGTATATCTTTTATTGTCTATAATACCACAAGTAATGATTGACATCCTTTTTCACATGAATCGCCATTCAGAATGACGATTGTAAAGCGAATGTATTAAATGGAAAAAAAAATGAGTGCACTGAATACAAAACCTACCATACTCAGAACACCTATTCACATAAATCCAATAGTTCTCCAAAGCACATACACAAACAATAAAAATAAAAGACATGCCAGCCTATCGAATTTACAGTAACAGATAGCGCATTCCACCGCAAACACCATGAACTATAGCATTTAAAATGAGTCTTGAATGGATCGGTGACTACCTGACCAGTAGTACTTCACGCTAATATAATCGCTGGTGCAGATAGAGCCCTTGTGCAACAATTATATGATCGCTGCTGCAGATGGAACCACCCAAATTGCTTTGAAATATTGTTGTACATGATCTTCTGTCATCAATCCTTCAACTTCTGAAATCATCATCGTGTTGGTTGTCATCTGGTGCTTGAACAGTCTTCACTCCAGTTTCATGTTGAGTTCCGGTCTCCGATGCTTCCCCGATCTGTTACAGAGAGTTTATGGAATCCGCAGGGAATATTAAAACTCAAATAAAACAGAAATGTGAAGCACATTCAGATCAATCCTGGTTTCTGTGAGCCCCTCGCTTATCGATCATCGTGAAACAACATGAAATTAAAAGAGGCTGTGACTTAGAAATCATCAGGACATTTATTTATTACCAACTCTGTGATGCTTTCACAAGGAATGCTGAAGTTTTTTCTTAATTGTTTCAGATTTGGACGCAAAGGTAGAGATGATCATAGTTATAGCATTGAGAATGTTATATCTACCTGCCTCACTACTCCCGGATAAGGACGCTGCTTCTTCACAAGCTCTCCCACATGTCTCCTTAGACGAATTGTTGGCAGAAGAAGAGCGTGGATTCCAATCATCGCCTGGTCTGTTGGTCCAGGAGTTAGGGAAATCATACTTTTGTGTCAAACTCAGCTTCGCCTTCAATATCTCATTCTCTTTTACAAGAGAAAGTAGCTGCAAAAAGCATAACATCACATGGGACAAACATGCTGCAGGATCATAAGTTGGCTACAAAATGATGCATTTTAAATGGATGAAGAGAACATGCCAAGTGCTAGCTGCCGTTCCCATAGTTCGATTAACTTGTTAGCGTGCCAAGCTGATTCAGCCCAAAGTATGTTCTAATGTCAATCATCCTATCATTTTGTTGTCTCAATAACTACTTATCTCAAAACGGTGATGAATGAGCACTATTAAGGCTGTTGTGGAAGTATATAGCACATCAAAAGGTAAGAGCCATGTTAAATGTTGTAGTTAAATTGATACCTGATCCTGGATCCGTTCTCTTTCTCTGCCAAGCTGAAATACCATATCCATGATAAGGTTGGTCCTCAACTTGATGTCTTCGGCACTTTCAGCCTTGGAGTTGTTAGCTTGATCCAACAACGTCTCCAAACTTCGCATTCTCGACCTTAACAAGATTAGCTCATCGTCAAGCTCGGCATTAGTTTCAGACAAGATGATGCACTGTTCCTCCGAATTCTCAAGCTTGATTTCCGCTTTGGAGACTTTTGATTTTAGCTCTTCTATCAACGTTTCCATATCCCAAATTGCAGAGTACAGCATATTCTGTTGCTCTTGACTTGTTTCAGATGATGACTTTGAATGTTGCACTTGGATTTGAAGTTCCATCAACTGCTTCTCGAGAGAGGTTACCTTCTTTGCATCACTATCTCTCCCACTCTTCAGAAAACCGATTTCTTCTGAGAGTTCCACATTTGTATCTGATAACTGGCTAACTTTGGCCTCCGCATTCTCAGCCCTAGTTTCAGCTTCAAAGATGTTTTCCCTGAGTGACTCAACTAGATTGTCCATTTCAACCAGCTGCACTTGATCCTCTTCATGTACAGTATTTGCAGTCTTAAGATTTAGCTCAAATTTTTTCACCTGTTCTTCAAGTGATTTCACTTTGTCTTTCATCAGCGGAACTTCAGCACTTTTTGCAATATGTTCTGCTATGCTGATCTCAAGCTTCTTCAAAGCAACATCTTTAGCATCTAGTTGTTGGATGGAGTCTTGGAGCTTTGACCTTAACTCAGATTCTCGCTGTAATGAACCATTTAAGTTGAATTGAATAATCTGAAGGTGGCCTACTAGTTCCTTCGAAATTCCCATCAAGACTTCAGCAGCATTTTCTGCCTCCAAGAATCTTCCCAAAACAACTTCTGTTGCTTCTTCCATCCGAAACACAACCTGTTCAGTATAATGCAGCTTTAATTTCAACTGTTCTTCGCTCTGCTTTGATTCAGACAATTTCTTCTCGAGATCTAGCTCTCTTGTAAGCGAATTCTCCAACATCCTCAGGACACGTCTGTGATGTTCTGCAGTCTGCTTCTTCGAATTTTGCTTCGCATTACCGGTGAGTGACAGTGTAATGGCCTTGGCATCTTCCCCTGTCAAAGTGAAAACCTCATAATAAGTGAACAGATGAAACAATATTATAGACTTACCATGAATTTTATCTGCAAATGGATCCATGTAACGTACAGTTCTCGTGTCTGAGAGCTAAAAAGGCTCTTTGTAACTTGGTTGATTCGATCTTCACCTCCAAAACTTTATCTTGAGTTTCCTTAAATGATTCTTCACACTCGACCAACTTCTGTTCTATTGTACTCGGTGCTTTTGGTGAGTGTCTGCATGCAGATATCTTATAACGTGCATCAACAATGCCTGCTTGGATATTATCCATGAAACTCTCCACCTCCCTTACCTCCGAATCTAAGATTCCAGACAAAAGATCAATTTCCAGTGCCTTCTCTATTGATGTTGCTGATATGTAGCTGTACGCAGCTATTACCTCGAGATCATTATCCCAAGCCAGTAGATGCATTAGGAGAATATGTAAGTTACTCAACTTTTCAGAGGAACAAGTCAAGTCCAAATCCACTTTGGTTAAAGTGTCCATGGCAATTCCCACCTCCTCTAAGCTTATTGCACCAGATGAGGGTGTTGCAATTGGCACATGAACTTCAACCGTTGACTCAGTTTCGGATTCAACAGGATGCTGTGTCATTCTTGCCGTGTCTGCCTAGAATCTCAGTCATTTTAAGCAAGTAAGATCACATATCAAAAAAGAAAGGAAAAGAAAAGAAAACCTCCAGCATTTGGCAGTTTACTTTACATGCATGAAATGAACTACTTCTAGAGGCTAGATGCAGGGAAGACTTAGTCACAGCAAGCAGACATAAGATTGATACCCAAGTCAAAGCACCACCCAACTTCATATTTACCACAAATATTTGATATGTGAAAATGGGTCTGGTGAGGATTCAGATATTGCACCCCAGCAACACATCCTTTACTTACTTTCGCCAGTGATCATACAGGCCATCAGTAACCATCCGGTGAAAGTTCTGTAAAATGAAACTAACAACTCTGTTAACCGTGAAGCACTGCAGAACCTTCCCCAGCCATCCTCATTCAAAGTAGCTAGGTTCCAGAGATCTTGACATCCATATGATCTAATCTCATCTCCACTGAAATGATTAAACCCATTACAACTCTACCATTACAAGCTAAGATGCAAATCAGAATAAGTTTTCCACTCATCCGTCTCTCCACAACCCTTCGCCAGTACCATCTCAATTGATCAACCTAAATGTAGTAGATTCAACTCCCGGGCCAAAAAAGAAAAAATACCAACTCCTTGTACAAGATAGGAACCTGCTCAATTTCAACTAAACAACAGAACCGGCGCCAGAAACATCTCTGATCTCTATCATTCAAGAGTATCAAAATTCTAGAGCGAGCATGAGAAGACTTCATGAAGATTCATACCAAATGACCCACCAACCCAGAAAGGAGAACACAGCGAAGATCTACACTTCGACACCATTAACAAAAACCGGGGTCCACAAAGCCGGAAAAGCATCAAAATTTAAGCAAGAAGCAGAATTATTCCATTCTAGGAAAGTTGGAACGATTGAGTTCAGCCCACGGAATAAACTTACCCGCGAAGAGGGAAATCACAGGCAGAGAGTGAAAGTTGTGAAGCGAAGGTTTGCCTCTCTTTTCCTCTGCTCCAAGCTATGGTAAGGATATTCCCTCTTCCTTTCTGGTAACTAACCTCTCATTTCAGTCATAAGACCGTTGAAAATTAATTGAGCAAACAAGGTCTGACTCTAAAATGAGCCGTGGGTAAAGAGATGAACTGGCACCTATGTCAGTTTCACAGCTGAAAGAAACTGACGACTGAGTGCGCCAGCGGAAAGTCCAACAGATGAGCTGCAGGAGGGCATCTTCCGTGGACATCTAACGGTCCACATAAAAGGGCCATTATCTCATATTTGGTTAGATGAGTGACCGAGTAATTACTATTTGCCGCTCACAGTTTTGAAGTAAATGACAATTTGCCCCTTCGTTGGAAACCTTCCCATCAACCACCGTCGGCTTTCTTCCCCGCCCTTACCTCTTTTTCCTCCAAGCCAATGCTCCCCTGACATAGCTTCATTCTCCTGTCGCTACCGTCATCATGAGATTCGAGAGAAGCGCCGGCGACAACCACAAACCAAGCCTCAAAATCCATCTCCGACGACGATCAAAACCCCCGAGATGCTTCCCGATCGAAGCTCCGCGCCTTCTTCCCGACATCGCCTTCCCGAGACTGTCATCTCTCCATTGTCCGATGGAGATTAGCAGTCAGACGTGGAAAGTTCGGAAAGAGAGCGCGGTCCGCCGTCGGAGTTCGGACCCCGTCCGATCGCCGTCGTCGGACCACGTACGAAAGTCAGTGTCGGACCACGTCCGAAAGTGAGCGCCGGACCACGTCAGGTTTCCGGCGTCGGACCCCGCCGATGACTTTTCTTGCGGAAAATAAAGCAATTTTTTGTTATAATTGTGATTAAATAATTATATTGTTATAAATAAGTATAAATATGATAATTAGGCAAATAATAACCCCGTTAAAAAGGAGTTTTTTAAGGTAAAATTGATTTTTCCGTTGATATATTATCGGTAGAATATTAAATTGGAGAGTTTTTTATAGGGCTGAGAAAATAGACCAGACCGTTAGAAAAACCGTGGTCCAAACCGTACCGCACAGTTTGGCCCGGACCGTAGACCGTGAAGTATGGTCTGGACTGGTCCATGGTCTGTATTATTTTATGATTTGATCTCTTGGTCTGGTCTGGTCTAGACCGCGGTTTGCCGTACCAAACTGTGGACCCAACTGACTTGTCAATACCTGTTAACAGCCCATTCGACCACTCTCCAAACTCCCACAACGACACCCAAGTCTCAACCTTAATTTTGTGAATCTCTTCCCTCCTTCATTCACAACCACATTTAACCAGAGAGTAGAGATAATAGTGTCTCCATATGACATTATGTTAACTAGCACAGGACCCGGCCCGTTGGCCGGAAGAATTTTGTCGAGAAATATGCTATATAATAATGAATATATAATAGAGGATTTGAAATGCACAAAATGATTGTAAACTAACTTACTTATCCACATAACATTTTTGAAAGTGATCCAACTGTTTCATAATATGTCTAGACCACCATGAAATAAGCATTACTTATAATTATTGAATAATAATAAAAAATATAACTAATTGTCATCCATTACTTAATTAAACTATATAATTGAATATTAGAGTTGTTTCTCATAATACATACATAATCAACCTTTAAGATGAAAGAAAATGTCTCTCATAGAGTTAAGTATGTCCTTTAAGTTTTTCCCAATAGAGAGCATTCTTTTTTACCACACCATTGGTAATGAATCTGAAGTTGCTTGATTTGAAATATATAGGACATGATGCTAAATTGTCGCTAATAGTTGGTTGGAGAATGTGTTGTGTATAGATTTCCAAAATTATTCTCAGATCGCAGACATGTTTAACAACAATGTAGTAATTTTCATGCAACAAATATTTTTTCATGAAATAATTCAATAAATAAAAACCTATGAAAATCATATTACATGAAATGAAATATATAGTACTCATTAAGTTGATGAATGAGCAAGGGTATAAGTAACATACATCTATTTTAAAAATATAGAAGTTGTAAAGTGTCTTTTGGTTTTAATGAGATCGGATATTCTCATTATCTGACTTATTTTTTTTGCAATAGATAGTTCAAAATGTGCCTTAAAACTTCTATTTCCACCAGTGTAAAAGAATTGTTTGAACCAAATGATTACAATAGTATAAAAAAAATTGATAGTAGAGTATTTTATACTGAAATCATAATTTAACTGTGGTTCAACCGTTTCATATTGCTAAATATCACCTATCGATTTAGCCTATGGTGTGAAGTTTTATGGTTGAGCCGCCAATATGTACGATCTTTCAATTCAAACTTTAAATAAAAAACCACTAAAATATTGACATGATCAAATACCTTTAAATCTCATAAATTACCATAATCGTATTAAGGAAAAAATCATCCAAATGATAATATTGATTTAGGATTTTATGGTGTCATTTGGAAGTTGCGATTGTTAAATAGATATTGTGTTGTGAATGCATGTATAATATTATATGTATTGTCGGATTAGATGCATTGTGTATGTCACATAAGCTAAAAGTTTAGACAAAACAATCCCAACTCAACTATCTCAACAATAACAACTAAAATTTGAGATTTAACAATTCTCATTTTGATTGATAGTTTCGGTCACATCACAGATGTAATCCATGTATTGGTTCTACTAAAAAATATAAAAATGATGAATTCTAAACAATACATGTATAGTAAATCTCAACAAAACAATCACAACTTTCAAACGACCCCTTAATCGAAATGAAAAAATTCTATCAAATATAATGTCATCTCCTAAAATAAATCAAAATTCAACAGGGCAAAGATTACCCACTAAGCAAGCAGAAGGGCAATTATTTCACACAACCTCATCCCCCCCCCCCCCCCTCGTTTAAGTATGTTCTCTCACTCTCTCTTATGCCTCGTTCACTTACCATTTTGTTTTCTGTTTTCTGCTGTGACAACAAAAATAAAAAAAACAAATTGTAAGAAATGTGTTCACTTGCAATTTCATTGTCGTTGGAAAAAATAATGGGGAATAAAAGAGGCAGTTGGGCGAAAACAATAAAACATCCTTTGCTGGAAAATGAGAGACGAATTTCCTCCCGTTGCCCATTGGGTTATGCCCCCATTCCTTTTAATGAGCCTAGCGTTCGAATCCCTTTGCCACATTTTTTTTATCCTTTTGTTCACTTAGACCAACGACGCCGTTTTGCTAACCCCAGCTCCCATCGTTCTTCTCCCAGCCTCCCCCAAACTCGACCTCTCCATCGAACGAAGCTGCTACAGTTCGCCTCTTCTTCCTCTAGCAGATGGAGAGAAGATCGATCCGACGAACTCCTTCTATAGTCGGCGAAGCTCCAACGACGAAGGACAGGTTTGCTTTGAGATGCCAGCAGGTATTACCCTTCCACCGCTAAGTTATATAATTCTCAAAGGCTTATATCCTCGAGGTCATATCAATAGAGGTGTGGATTAGGATGGATGAGACAATGATGGCTACACTTGCCCAGCGGGTCGTCGATAATCCTCTTTGTTTTTCCATTTGTTTTTCCATCTCTCTCTCTGAGCTTTGTATCTCACCACTCTCCCCCCTTCCTTCCTCTTTCTTCCCACCGCTTGGAATTGAGAGAAACCTAGAAACATCCCAATTACTTATCCAATTTTGCATTCGAAATGCTTCTTCTCCATTCACAATCAAAAGTGTGAATCAGAGGACCTGAAACCTGGCGACCAAATGGCCGCTTATTCCTCTCAAATGGCGCATTTCTCCATAAAACATGAGTGCACCAATATAGACTATGTGGTGCTCGCACTTGTGCGCGAGCACTTGAAGTTGAAGTCAGGTATGACCCATGAAGCATTCATACTTATATAGGGTCGATCCATATACATTGTCTTCATGGTATGCTCTAACTGTGTCATGCTAGCTCGATCATGTGTCTGTGTATAGTTACATGCATTCTAATAATTAAGTTTTTATATATTCACAACACCAAGATAAAAACAATCATAAATGCTAAAATACAACATTTGAACCAACTACCACTGATGCCGCAAATAATAAGTATATCTCTAAATCATACATAAAATATTTCAAACATAAAAAATATTAAGATTAAATTAATTATTATAAAGAGTAAAAATTATATAATGAGGTTAATTATAACTCATTTATATGTCAATGCCTTAAATTGATCAACACACCCAAAAATGGAAAAATGAACATCACATTAAACCTAATATCTTCTCATTATTGTCGGATCCATTCATGCTAGATTAGCAAAAGGTTTAATGTTTACCAATTAAGCAGGCTAAAATTTTAGAGAACCAGTCACATATAGTTTGTACAAAATATTATTGCTTCGTAGTAGTTCTGTAAATTTATATTAATTAAAGAATTCTACATCTCTGTTGCATATTCAATACTGCAATTCGATATGTAATTCAAGCATTGAATTTGTGTTGCAATTTTAAGATTACCCGTCATTTTATAGGTTATAAATAAATTATAAACCACGTATTAAACTTTGCTTTTTAGAATATTTAATAGGCTAGCTAAACGTGATGGAAAGTTCCTATGCTTTTCAAATATTCGCTAAGTGTATGCTTACAATTCAAGAAGATAAAACAAATTTGTTTAGTGTAATTGGTTGTGATTTATTTTTTTAAGAGACCATGGTTCAAATCTAGATGTTAATACCTTTTAAATAATTGCGATGAAAAAAATACTCTTCCTACTTTCAGTCTCGTTTCACGAAATTGGAAATGAAAAATCTTAAAACGTTGAATATATCTTACAGAAAAAGCTTCTTCAACCAGGTAAGAAGGGCATTTTACCTGAAATTATTATATCTTATAGAAGTGATTAATTGTGAAATCGGAACTCAAGTAACATTTATTCAAACATTAAATATTAAATTGTATGTGTGGTATAGTTTAGATAAAATACATGTGTGTAGCCAAAACATGGGTCTTCGTGACTTATATAGTAACTTTTTGTGACAAATCTACACATAAAATAAAGATATATTTGGCACTATGACGAAAAAAGAGGTTCGTAGAATCACTCTCAGGCCACGAAATTTAAAAGAAGACTCTCATTTTCCAATTTTATCATTATATTATGTGTAGATTTGTCACAAAAAATGTTATACTCGTTACAAAGGTCCATGTTTTGGTTACACTTTTGTAGTTTGTCTAAACTAAACTACACATTCAATTTAATATTAATTTTTGAATCAATACTACTTGAGTTCCGATTTCAGAACTAATCTCATTCTATAAAATATAAATAACTTAAAGATAAAATATAAATATAGAAGCATCATCACAAACATATTCCTAGAGTTTAATCAAAGAAATAACAATAGATATAATGTAGCCTAGTTGGTTATAATGTTCTTTCTTCATTTAATTGATCCAGGTTCGAACTCCAATGATAACATTTTTAATATATAAAGATAAAGTGGGCGCAATGACAAAAATGTCCTTCCTACAATCACTCTCAGGCCACGAAATTTGAAATGGGAGAATTCCAACCCATGTTTTGCCTTTATATATCTTGTAGATGTTTATGACGTTATGGTGCAAACTGGGATGTTTTTACTTTGTATCTTTGTTATGTTCTAAGATTTAGAGAATCAAAATTATTCATGCATGTTAGGATTAATGTTTTAAGGAAAATAACAATTATTTTTCTTGGTTATTGGTTCAATTTTTTGTGTGGTTGACTAAACAAATTATTCATTTTTCGTTGAGTAG